GTTCCCTGCGTCTTCCTTGGCTTCCCCCCTGACGCGCCTGGCTAGCAGTTTACCACCCCACCTCGCGCCATGTTCTGTCCTCTCAGGACGTCACGCTTGATGAGTCGGTTCCCTTTTACCGTCTCTTCCCCTACCGCACTGCTTCTCTCCCCCCCCCGCCTCTCTTCCTAGCAGTAGGTCCTCCTCCGGTAGACCCCCTCCCCCCTCAGGGTCCTGCCCCCTCAGGTGTGTCCCATGTAGACCCTGTCGAGCCTGTCTAGGTAGCTGTCGACTCTGGTACTGCTAGGGGTGCTGAGCCTGCGGGTGCGGGGCCTGGGGGTGCTGAGCCTGAGCGTGCGGAGCCTGGAGGTGCTGCGCCTGGGGCTGCTAAGTCTGAGGGTGCAGGGCCTGGGGTTGCTGAGCCTGAGAGTGTGGAGCCTGAGCGTGTTGAGCCTGGAGGTACTTTGTCCTCTGGAGGTCCTGTGGGTGTCTTGTCCCGGTGGGAGCCGCTCTCTCCACTGCAGCTGTGCGAGTGGTTTGCTCGGCGCTGGAGGCGTGCTGCTGGAGCTGGAGGTCCTGCTGCTATCGGAGCTGCTGGAGGTACTGGAGCCGCTGCTCCCGGAGGTGCTCGTACTGGAGGTACTGGAGCTGCTGGGGCTGGTGGTGCTGCAGGAGTTGGAGTTGGAGGCGCTGGACCTGTTCCTGCTGGAGGTGTTGCTGGTGCTAGAGTGGTGCAGCAGGAGCTGGAGCTGGAAGCGCTGGAGCTGTTCCTGCTGGTGGTACTGCTGGTGCTGGAGCTAGTGGTGCTGCAGGAGTTGGAGGTGGAGACGCTGGAGCTGTTCCTGCTAGTGGTGCTGCTGGTGGTGTAGCTAGTGGTGCTGCAGGAATTGGAGTTGGAGGCGCTGGAGCTGTTCCTGCTGGTGGTGCTGCTGGTGCTGGAGCTAGTGGTGCTGCAGGAGTTGGAGCTGGAGACTCTGGAGCTAAGGGGCCTGGTGCTGTCTCTGCTGGTTCTTGAGGCGCTGCGCGGCCGCGGCCGTACTTCGTTCCACTCCTTCAGCATGTTCTTGGTCTCCCGCCCTCTACTGGTCCTACTCCTCCCTTACTGTGTTTTCCGCCTGACCAATCACAGTCGCAGTTACCGCCAGCCTCCCCTCTGCCTGGTCCTTCTCCTTACACAGGACCGACCGGAGGTCTTGCTGAGCGTCGTGAGCCTACGTCTCGCCCTGCGTCGCCTGTTCGCGCTGCTCGCACTAGACGTCGTATTCCGCGTCCGCGTCCACTTCCTGTCCCCGGCACACACACCAGATGACACTCCGTCCTTCCTCTGTTCTACTGCGTGTCCCTCTGCCGTCTCCTCCTCCGTCCTCCCTTGCTGACGGTCTGGACCCCGAGTCTTACTCACTTTGTGCTGACAGCCCTACCGTCACGCGTCTGCTAGCTACTGTTGTCACAAACCATTCCTTTGAGTCCACTGCTGCGTCTGCCTTAGTTGTTTAGCTTGTCGACTTTGCTGCTCGCTGTCGTCTCGACTACGCCGCTAGTCTTGTTGCTGAGTCAGAGTCTGTCTGTCCTCCGTCCGTTAGGAGTGAGTGTGCCCTTGGCAAGGACGTCCTTGAGGACAGGCAGGAGGACCTTGAGTGTTTTGCGGCTGTTGTACCTCATCTCGTATCCATGCTGATTGCACCTAAGGGAGACCCGGATGCACCAGACATCCCGACCCCGCGCTCTTACCTAGAGGCGATAGAGGGTCCCTACTCCTCTCAGTGGCAGTTAGCCATGGACGCAGAGATGGCATCCTGGAAGTCCACAGGCATTTACGTCGACGAGGTTCCCCCTCATGGGGCGAGCATCGTCAGTGACATGTGGATTTTCATGGTGAAGCGGCCGCCGGGTTCTCCGCCTGTCTTCAAGGCTCGTTACGTTGCACGAGGCTTCAGTCAGCGACAGGGAGTTGACTTCTTCCATACCTTCTCCCCAACCCCGAAGATGACCACTCTTTGGGTTCTGCTGCACGTCGCCGCGCAGCGTGACTACGAGCTTCACTCTCTTCACTTCAGCACTGCTTTCCTACAGGGCAGCCTGCACTAGGAGATCTGGTTGCGCCGCCCACCTATCTTCACTGGGTCGTTTCCTGCCGGTACCCAGTGGAGCCTCCGGCGGCCAGTCTACGGTCTCCGCCAGGCGCCTCGCGAGTGGCACGACACACTGAGGACGACTCTTGCGGCTCTTGGGTTTGCTCCTTCTACTGCTGACCCGTCGCTGATTCTACGCACCAACACTTCGTTGCCGCCGTTCTACATCCTCGTGTACGTCGACGACTTGTTTTTTGCCACTGCTGACACAGAGGCAGTGACTCTAGTGTAGTCGGAGCTACAGGAGAGACACACATGCACACACCTCGGTGAGTTGCGCAGCTATCTTGGCTTGCAGATCACCCGGGACAGAGCACGCGGCACCATCACCCTGACTCAGTCACACATGGTGCAGCAGGTCCTTCAGCGCTTCGACTTCTAGTACTCCTCGCCACAGTCTACTCCTCTGCCTACCGGTCACTCGCTCTCAGCTCTGCCTTCGGATGAGTCCGTAGAGCCGAGTGGCCCGTATCCAGAGCTTGTGGGCTGCCTCATGTACCTGATGAACTGCACTCGACCTGACCTTGCTTACCCTCTTAGCATCCTGGCACGCTACGTTGCGCCCGGGAGACATCGACCAGCGCAATGGAAGGCCGCTAACAGGGTGATGCGCTACTTGTGCTGTACGTCGGGCATGGGGCTCGTGCTTGGAGGACGGGTCCAGTTGTCCTCAGTGGTCACGCAGACGCTTCTTGGGTTGACGACTTGGCTACGCAGCGGTCGTCACAGGGTTACACCTTCAGCCTTGGCTCTAGTTCTTTTTCGTGGCGGTCTACCCGCTCGTCTTCTGTTCTCGGCTCTAGCTGTGAGGCTGAGATCTACGCAGGGGCCATGGCAGCAGAGGAGCTAAGGTGGCTCACCTATCTGCTGACCGACCTGGGAGAGGCGCCTCGTTTTCCTCCAGTTCTGTACGTCGAGAACAAGGCCATGATTGCCTTCTGTCAGGAGCACAGAACAAAGCACATCGCTCTGCGTTATTTCCTTGCTCAAGAGTTGCAGCAGCGTGGTCTGCTTCGTCTTGTTTACGTGGCCTCTCAGGTCAACACTGCTGATATCTTAACCAAGGCACTTCAGCCTTGTGATCATCAGCCTCTCAGGCCTTGTGCCTACTTGGCCTAACTTGCTCACTTCTTGACTTTGTTTGTACTGTGATCAATATATTTTTACCTGCATGCTTACACTTGCTAGGTTGTGATCACTGTCCTGCTTGTTCTCCTTTATATATATAACTCTGCATGTGGACTGGCCTTGTGGCCATTCGCTTGTGCTCTGAATGCGTGGTGACGTTGTGATCCACCCTGGGCTTGACCTTGCTTAGTTCTCTTGCTTTTCCCCCACTTTGCCTATGGGGGTGTGTCAGAACCATGCTCTAGGTTGTAGTGGGGCACTCATTATGGGGTACAGCCCAATCAGGTTTGGCTATACAAACTATGTACTGCTTTGTTTCTAGTCATTCTTGATTCCTAATCGTGACATGGTTTCAGAGTAGCGTTGTAAGGATTTACAAATCCTTACTGAGGCACTCGTTAGCGAGGACATCCCGAGGGTCACGCGACGAACCTGTCCTTCCTATTTCGTCGCACCGAACCACTCCCGAGTCGGCCTCCGCTCCAATCGCAACCATCACCGAGCCATCCTCGCCCAACCTCTCCGCCTAGCTAGGACTTCCCCTATTTAGTTGTACCTTTCTCATTGTATCGTCATTCAGTAATTCAGTAATCAGTCACTCTCGTTATTCGTTTTACTGCGCACTCGGCAAGTTCATTCATAACAAGCGTCTCGTTTCAGGTGGAGAGACAACCAGCCAGCATGGGGATCTGCTCCAACTCGTCTCCGACGTTAGACCGGACTCGTTAGAGACGGACACGATACAGTCGCGTAGAACCGACCACCGAACAGGCTGATATGCCGTGGCTGGTTGGTTTAGATCGATGGGGCGTTGTACGATTAGAGAAGCTGCGGTACTGTACGATGTGCCGCGGCGAAGTTAGCTTGGTTAGGTGTGCATGCCAGGTATGCTGAAGATTGTCTGAAATCAGCGCGACTCGAGGATTCCTACCTGACGGACATCCGAGGCGGTTTTCTGCTCGTGGCAGTACAATTCATAATTTCCCCCCCATAAAGGTGTCCCGTGCGATAAACCCCCACCTCAACGCGGTGCACGCGAGGCAAAGCCTCTAGCGGCCAAGAGGGGTCAAGACTGAAGCCGCAAGACTCGAGACTCCAGGCTCAAGAACAAGTGGAGCAGTAGCAGCAGAAGATCGGCCTTTCGTCTTAGAGTACCGATATCTGAAGCTGGCTGTAGTCTCTAGTGGAGATCGCTTCCTTGTATGTGTGTGGAATGTTTTATGATTTTTGTTTTCATCTTGACCAAGCAAGATCGAACAAGCAGAAAGCACCATTGAAATCGTTAACTAGCAATCTCTTCCTAGGAACGGCGATTATATGTCTCACGTTCTCCACGGAATATTACCGTATGCAGTTAGCAAATAACGGCTTTCGTATCCATTACGGCAGATGTAAGAAGACAGCAGTAAGTATTATCCGCCGACGTTCGTATACTCGTAACGTCTCGAAGAGATTATAATTTTGGCGGACGGCGGTACCTCACTTGTTTGACGATCACGCAATTTTGTACTTCCGCTCTAAGCCCGATCATCGGAAATGATTTCCGCGTACATAGGTCTCAAGATCTCGCCCGTTTTACAGCTAACCGAAGAAACGACATGTTTCCGTGTGATGCGCGCTGCTTGCAGAGCGCTCTGATGACTCCATAAGGTCGCCGATGACGTGCTCTGATGGCGAGCTTGGGGAGGTAACGAGCGATGATTTGGAGCATAATAACAATCACAGTTTCCTTAATAATCTCAATGGTATAGCGGAGCACGAATGCAAGTTCAGGCCCCGTTCCCCCCTTACACTTCTCACCCGCTCCCATCCCCCTTCCCCCTCCCTTCGCCGTACGGACGTCGCTCCCTCCCTTGGCTGACTCTCCCTCCTTTCGCGACTGGTAGAAGCATTCCGCTAGATACGCTATGTCCGTGTGATGCGCGCTGCGGCTGACGCGCCGCGCGTTAGTAACGAGTATCTGAGGGCCTGCGCTCTGATGGCTCCAGTGACGTGCTCTGATGGCTCCAGTGACGTGCTCTTACGGCGAGCTTGGGGAGGTAACGAGGCGATGCTTTGGAGCATCTTAAATCATCAAAATCAAGGCCCGTCCCTTCCTTTCACTTCCCACCCGCTCCCATCCCCCTTCCCCCTCCCATCGCCATCACTCCCTCCTTTCGCGATTATTAGGAAGCATTCTTGCCTCCTCAGTCCGTCGTGACCTCATCCCTCCCTTGCGCGCATCCCTCCCGTGCGCTGATCCATTTTTCCCCCCTGCGCTCACCCCTCATCCCCCCTGCACTGATCCCTTCTCCTCCCTGCGCTCACCGCTCGTTCCCCCTGCGCTAATCCCTTTTCCCCCCTGCTCTAATACTTTTTCCGCCCTGCGCTCACCTCTTATTCCCCCACAGCTCATCCCTCGTCCCTCCTTGCCGCTCATCCCCACTGCACTTGTCCCGCATTCCCTCATTCCTCATCCTCCTTCTCCCCCCTGCACTCATCCCCTATTCCCCTTGTGTTCATCCCTCATTCCCTCTGCACTCCCTCATTCCCCTGTACTCAACCTTTCCCCCTGCTCATCCCCCACCCTCCCCTCACCCTTCCCCCATGCCTTCTTCCCTTCCCCATTGTATCTTCCCTTCCCCATTCTATCTTCCCTTCCCCTTTCCCTCATCCCTTCCCTCCTTTGCGCTCATCCCTCCTTTGCCTTGTACTAGTTCCTCATTCGCTCTGTGCTTATCCTTCCTTCCCTCAGCTCACCCCTTACCCCTGTGCTTATCCCATCCCCCTGCGCCCATGCGTCCTTTGCCTTGTGTTCATCTCATCTCATCCCATTCTCTCTGTGTTCACCCTCCTTCCCTTTACACTCAGCCCATCCCATCCTCCTGCACTCATCCTCATCTCATCGACAACTGCACAAGCTGCTTTACCATTTGGCAAGATATATACATCGTCCACTCAGCAAGTGTGTCAGCCTACCGTATCACATGGTCGTGTGGTAGTGTGTTGTGTTGCTGAGGTTGCATCTACTGGCTTCAGAGAGCACTGTGCTCATCTGGCTTGGGTTAGTTGGAAGCCACTTCATTTGTTTGTACCATGCCTTACTGTAATGTAATCTCTTGGGTGAAAGACAAGACACACTCCCTCTCCCCCCCCCCCTTCCCACACCACCACCACACAACCCCAGTTATGAGGACGGAGCTGAGGCGCGAGGTGCTGCTGCTGCTGCTGCCTGAGGCCATTCCCACGGTCCACCTCAGACCCACTTGCTGACGGTCCACCTCTCACCTGTGTTGCCGCCATGCATGCATGTGTGCAGGAGCTGAGGCGCGAGGTGCCGCTGCTGGAGGCCATGCGTTGCGACATGGGTGCCGCATGCGACACCGGTGCTCATGGGGGTGGATGGGGGTGATGGGGGTGATGTGATGGGGGTGATGGGGGTGAAGGGGGTGACGGTGGTGATGGGGGTGACAGTGGTGATGGGGGTGACGGTGGTGATGGGGGTGACGGTGGTGATGATGGCGGTGGTTTGGATTCTAGTGCACGTGGTGAGACTGTGCATTTGAAGAGAATTGCGTGTGGGGAGGCACGCCAGTAAAGAGGCATGCATGAACGAGTTGTGTTGCGGCTCTCACATCATATGTGGTGCGGTGTGGTGGTGCGTGCAGGGTAGGGGAAGGCAGAGCTAAGAGCACAGAAGGAGCGAGTGCAGGAGAGCTAAGAGCCATGCAGGAGAGCTCGTTCTGGGACCCACCGCTGGATGAGGTGATGCTATGCCATGTATGGCATGCCATGACATGGGGTGCTACAGTCATGTGGTGTCATGTGTTATGATTTAGGGATTGTTGCATGAGCAATGTGAACAGGATGATGCTCCTATCTGCATCACTGCACCACCAGAACCGTCTGACCGATCCCCTCCACCCAACCCGCCCCCTCGCCCCATGCAGTTGGTTCGCCAGCTGGCGCGTGTCGTGAACCATCTCATTCGCCTCGTCTCCTCCACATTCGGCCCGCTGCGTGAGTGCATTGTTCTCCGCCCTACCTCACTGCGTCCATCACTACGCCCTACGTTCACCCATTCTCACACCCTTCCATCCCATCCCCCCACTCTCCCCCGCGATTCAACCCCCACACTCTCCTTCACATCCCCCTCTCTCATTCCCCCCATGCCCCCAACGCCCGTGGCAGCACCAGACGTCCCTCTGCTGCCTGTGCGGGGGAAGGGCGCACAGGCGGAGGGGGGGAGGGGGGGAGGGGCGCACAGGCAGAGGGGGGGAGGGGCGGGCAGGCGGAGGGGGGGAGGAAGCCGGGGGAGTCGCGCATGGCGCTGGCGTATGCGCGGTGAGGCACCCGCCGCTGCTGCTGCTGCTGATGAAGGTGTGAGTGGGGCCTGTCACATGGTTGAAGGCATGGCGCTGGCGTATGCGCGCGCGGCTCATCATCGCCATTCACCTGCTGGTGAGGCACCCGCCACCGCTGCTGCTCACATGCCACCACTTGCTGCTGCGGCGGAAGCAGCGCTAGTGGTGTAAGCAGTGCTGGGGAGAAGAGTAACTGCAGCGAGGCATCTGCCAGTCTCACCACTGCATTCGCACTGCCTCCCACTTGTCTTATGGGTCCTCGCTCCTCCCCACTGCACCTTCGCTCCTCTCCTCTTGTCCCTTCCCCTGTTCTTCCACCCCCACCCACTAACACGCACCGTCCACTGGGCGGGGCAGGTGGGCATGCGCAGGCAGATGAGGAACGAAATATCTAAGTAAAAATGCAGTGCAGGGACTGTTATACAGCGCTGCAAGTCACACAGCTTTAGTGCACAGTGTGCATGAGCTCTGCTCCATCATTGTTGTTGATGGACCGCAAGTGGACCGCCATTATGTTAGACTGCCTAAATGCATCCATGCTGCATCGACCAGCCAACTACCACCACCAGTTGTAACTTAACCTGAGTAGTTTTAGTGTTTTTTTTCAAGTTGCTGATACTATGGATTCATGGCAGCGATTGCTATTGAAAAAAATTAAACACTCACCTGTCATTCACTATAAACAAATAAGAAAAAAGAACAAAAAATTACATGTACTTCTAAGTGAGAAAGAATGCAACATGTTTAGACAAATATGAAAATATCACTGTGCTGGAAAAGCACAGCATTAGGACCACACATCTCATTTAAGTTTCTCTAGTCAACCAATTTGATTTTATTTTTTTCCCGTGACTGAATGGAGGTGCCTACAGTGGATATTCGGATTGAAGGACCAATATTTTGGAACTGCGGGGTGCGAGAAGCAGGTGCCTACTGTCAATGACCGCACGAGACATTGATTGTTGGGCATCGAGAGCCAAGGGTTCCGAAGATATTACGCTGCTGCAATGATTTACGCGTGGTTACGTTTCGGCTTTCCAAGAATTTAGAGCCACAAGGTTTGGTGAACTGAATGGATAAGGCGAGAAAAGGGAGAACACAATATTTATGGCGTGTCAAATTCTTCTTCTAATTTATGTCTTCAAGGCAAATATTAAGAGTTGTGCTTAGTGTCTAAACAACACTGCTTATACAGATATAATGTCACAGAACTATGTAGCAGATGTAGATTACAGACGTCATGGTTTTTATCTCCTCTCTCCCTTCTCTTACTCGTACTTGTACCGTAACCGAAGTTGTGTTTGTTGGAGGGGGCTGCCTCTGCCCGCTCTAAGGGGCAGCAGAACTGCTCTCTTTCTTGTCGTTTTTCCTTCACGGTTCTTTGTGTCGATTTCCCCCCACTTGGCATGAGTCGATTTTGGGTGATCTATATTCTATCATCCTGACGTATCTTATGACGTGGCACATGTGATGGAGAAGACCTATTTGCTGAGAATGTGTATCGCACGAGAAATCAAGCCAATGCCGCCTCGATGTTGAGAACAGCAGTTCGCAGTCCGACAGACCTGCGATTGCCCTTCAGAGAGAATCTGGGGCCTACATTCAAGGGCTCCTTGGATACCACAAGATGGTTTTCCTGCTCGGTGCTTGTGATGTCACAAACTCAGTTCTGGTCGAGCTCTGTTCTCGTCCATGTTGTCGCTAGGATCAGGTCAAATAATTCGCTCTTGGATATCATTGCAGACTTCCCCACAGTAAAATTCGTAGAATTTCGAAGCTGGGGGGGGTTAGCCTTTTGCAGACACATAGACAGAGTCGTCCAAGTGATTAGCGTGTTTCTATCACATAACACGCTGGAAAAGGTCACGAAACTGATACCAGCCACCTCGTGTCTCGAAGCCTTTCAAATTTCTGTTCTCTCGTTCCAAGCCCCCGATGAACCCGGCTTTAGGGGAGTGGTCCAGGCCTGAACACAAGTCGCAAAATGCCTAGTTTTTGAGGTACACGATCTGGAACCTCCACCATCCGGGTTTCCTAAACTCTCTTCGGGAAATATGTGGCCTTCAGATATCCAAACTCGAATCGAAAAGCCTTTACGTTGCGAAGTCCTCGATAATCATGTGTTGTGAGCCCCCCTCGGGAGCTCCATAAACACGCACATGACTGACTGTATGAATGCTGCGAAGCCACAAGCGGCGATTTAGTGCGGAGGAAGGTGAGGAAGGAGTAAAACCGGGAAACTTCGGGGTCGTTACTTGTTTCAGTTCGGTTGAAAGGTTTTCCCTGAAATCCAACCCAGACTCATGTCAGCAGAATCAGATCATTCAGGGAGGAAGCACCTTGGAGTTACTCTCTTTCTGCGTATTGTGTGTCGCCTTGGTCCTTAGTACGCTTGTTTGTACCTTCCAGTCTATGCAGACGTCCGCTTGCAGAGATGCGCAAATGCGACACGAGTATTCTTGACCAGCGCGTATGCAAGCAGGCCGTCTGCGTCGCAGCGCGCTGTGCGCGCGGACTGCTCTTTAAGCTAGCGACGTCCGCGGAGCATTAGAAAGGGAATGCGATGGCGGCGATGCGGAAGGCCGGAGGCGCGAACGAGGCAGCGTCGGAGGAGACCGTGGTAGCAGAGGTCACCGCGCAGCCGCACGGCGCCGTGCTTGTGCTAGACGAGAAGTCGCGCAAGGTGCGCATCCTTAGCACTTAAGCTAATAGACAATAAGGCCGTACGAACTTGCGCTCAGCAGATTGTAGCGCCGCTAGACCGAGCATTGGGGAAATTCTTTAGAGTTAACTGCTCTAGCTGGTTATTAGCTGCTTTTCTATCCAGCAAGAACCACGACGGACCAACGACCATCCCTATTGACCTCCCACGTTTCAAATTCACGCAATTCCGAACTTCTCTCCGTTATCGCGTTCCCCATAGTTCCCCTCGCGCGCGCTCTTGTCGTGCGCGGCAGGTGGTGGCGGCGAGCGAGAATGTACTGCTCTTTATCCCCGACGTGCGCGCGGCCGGCGGAGTGGTGTCGCAGCACGAGGGCGCGTCCGCGGTCATAGGCCGCCACCTCAGCGATGTCTTCACCACCTCTCAGGTTCCCGCGCACCTTTGCCCCTGCCCTGCCCCTGCCCCTGTCGCTCTCACACGGCGCCATTGCGCTTTCATCGCCCGCCGCTCTGGCGCCCCTCCTGCTTAGCCCCACGCGTCATCAACCGTGCTCTCCTCGGCTTCTTTTGTTCACAATCACGCGCTCACATTCATCTTCTGACCGCAACTTTATTTGATCCCATTCGTTTTCTCCCTCGAGTCCGTCTCAGTCTTCGTCGTTCGCGTCTCGTCCTTTCTGTGCCTTTCCCCTCCCCTTCCCCTTCCCGTCCTCCGCGTCACGGATCTCCCCCAGACGCTGTCGGACCTGGAGGCGCTGGTTCAGCGCACAACGGCGCACAGCGCGAGCGCGTGCCAGATCAGCGGGCCGCGACCGGGGCAGTCGTACTGTGTGTCGGCGTGCCGCACGGGCGCGGGGGTGGTGCTGAGTGTGGAAGACGACAACGAGCAAGGTGCCCTGTTCACGCCAGTGGCGGGAAAGCGGATTGCCAGTAGTGGGATAGCGGAGTAGCCAGTAGCGGATAGCGGAGTAGCCAGTAGCGGAGCGGAATAGTCAGTAGCGGATAGCGGAATAGTCAGTAGCGGATAGCGGAATTGCTGATAACTGCGGAGGGTTGTGCGGCACACGGCGGGGACGGCGGCGGGTATAGGTAGTTCGCGGGTAACGCGGCGGCATATAGGCTGGCTTAGTGGAATTGAGGGCTTGGCTCCCGAGTAGAGCAGGACCGAGTCCAGCTTTCGGAGTCACACGTGCTGGCGGGAGCAGCACCGCGGATCCTGTCGCTGCGCAGCGCATTGCCTCCCCCGCTGCCCTGTCCATTCTAAACACCCGAATTCCCCTCCGCAACTCACACCGCCTCCACATCCCCACCTTTTCCCCGCTTTCCCCCGCCCCCCCACCTGCCATCTGCCGGCCCCTCCCTCCCCCTCCCTCTCCCGCGCCCGTTCCAATCCTCGCGCGCAGATTTACAGGAGGTCGACGTGCCTCCTCCGTTATCGGCGGCGGGAGGGCCGAGCACGGCGTCGGCGGCGCCGTCGCTGCCGTTCCACCAGCTGGCTCGGCGCGCCATCGACCGCATGCAGAGCATCAACAGCGTGTCGCCGCACGTGCACGCCTTCTGCGACGCGGCCGCGCAGGTGACGCGAGGAGAGATAATGGAGAGAGAAGAGAACAGAGAGAATGAGGAGGGAAGTGAAGAAAAACGCCCTTCGAAAGAAGAGAACGCCCTTCCGCTTTGCGCCCTCTTGCCTTTCCCCCAGGGTTATAGCGGCCTTATGTATGAAGGCGGTCTGGTGGCGGGTGCCTGGCGCGGATCCGTAGCAGTCGCTGCTTGCGAGGAGTATTCCTTATTTTCCTAAGGACCGCTGCAATTCTGAATCGTCTAAGCGTACTGAATTGCACTCCCCCAACACGGCGCCCGGCCATCCCCCGCACCACCGCGTGCTCTTCGCTTGATATGTCGTGCCATGCCATGCCATGTCATGCCATGCGGCGTCACGCACCCAGCTCATCGTGCCGTCCCGTGTGGTGGTATGTGTGCAGGAGCTGCGCACGCTAACGGGGTACGACCGCGTCATGATCGCGCACATCACCGACGAGGCCTGCTGCAAGGTACGCGCGCACGCGCGCATGCGCGCCCGCCACCACCGCGCACCAAACCGTGACGACGCGAACGCGAACGCGCGCACGCACTCATTGCTCACGTGAACGCGACGCAGGCAGGCAGGCGGGTTCGCAGGTGCCAGGCGCGCGCGCGCGCTAGGTGTTGCTGTGGGTGCGGTGGCTTTGCACGAGGTGCCGTGAGCGCGCAACATGAGGGATTGTGTGCTGGGGCATGTGCGGCCGGCATGTGCGGCCGGCATGTGCGGCAGGCTTCTCATGTATGAAGTCGTGAGTGGCGAAGCGCTCTTGATATGTATCAGAATGCTTCCCTGCGTGTGCCCTGCGTGTGCCCTGCGTGTGCCCTGCGTGTGCCCTGCGTGAGCCCTGCGTGTGCGCGTGTACCATCAGATCATAGCGGAGTCATGTGTGAGCGAGCTCACATCTTTCCGCGGAAAGCACTTCCCTCTGCCGCCCGTGCCCAAGGTACGTTTCGCAGTCCTCCCTCCCTCCGAGCCCACCCCTCCTCTTCCTTCCTCCCCCGGACACCCCTGCCGTCGTTGGTGCCTTACCTCATGCAATTCCCATACCCATGTTACCTAACGCAATTTCCGGACCCATGTTATGTAACGCAATTCTGAGTCGCACTACGCCTCTAACATTCCGTGTGCACCTTCTTCCCACTCCCTTACACTCCCTGCGCTCTATTACCCCTCTTCACCCCTCGTCACCCCTCCTCGCCCCTCGCGTCGCCCATTAGATCTGGACGGACGAGGCCATCAAGCAGCACATCCCCATGCGCTTCATCTATGACACGTCAGCAGGGCAAGTTCCCATTCGCCACGTGGCCTCCCTATCCACCCCGCCCGATCTCAGCCTCTCCCCACTCTCAGGTACAACTTACACCCCGCCCTCCCCTCACTCTACCTCATCAGCCACCTCCCCTCCCCCCCCCCCCCCCCCGTCCTCTCCCGCACCCCGTCCCGCTTACCACCTGCATGAACCCGTCTCCTCCCCTGTTTTTCTCTGACCCTTTTCGTCAGCATCCCTTCGCCACCCCACCAATCCTACCTACCACTCCTTCCATCCCCATCTCCCTACCGTCTCTCCCCCCATCCCCGCACCCCCGCCCCCACAGGCGTGGAGAGCGCGCAGAGGCAGCTGCTGCGCGCTATGGGGGTGTGTGCGGTGCTGCTGATGCCACTAGCTCTGCACGTGGGCGATCGCCACGTGCTCTGGGGCTTCGTGATCTTCCACCATTACAACCGCCCCTGGACCGTCACCTGCGCGCACCGCGCCGCCTGCACCTTCATCGTTCAGGTGGGCTGAGGGAGAGGGAGAGGTGGTTTTGTGCTTTGTGTTGTGGATGGGTTGTTGTGATATGGGACGGATGGTGAAGGGTGAGTTAGAGGATGAGGAATTGTGGCAAAATCATCTCATGCCTGCTGCCATTATGCCCCATCCTCTCCCAACCCTCCCCTCGTCCCCACCCTCCCCACACCCTTCTCCCCCCCCTTCTTTCCTCCTTGTGTAGGCCCTGCGGGCGCACCTAGCGACGCGGGTGAAGAGTGAGGAGCGGGCGGAGCGGCGGCGGCAGGAGGCGATGCAGACGAGCATCTGTGACCGGCTGACGTACCAGGTGGCGCCGTCCCTCGTCACCGAAAGCCCCTCCATCATGGACCTCGTACGTGCTGTGCTGTGCTGTGCTGTGCTGTGCTGTGCTGTGCTGTGCTGCCCTTGACATGGGCGGGAGCGGAGGGGAAACGGTGGAAGGGCGGGGTGGGAGGCGGGGGGAAGGGGGGAGGGAGGAGTGGAGGGGGTAGAAGGTGGGGAGGGAGGGAATGGAGGGTGGAGGGCCGGGAAAAGGAGGGGGAGGGGAAGAGCGGGAGTGGGTGGTGCGGGTGGGGGGTTGATAGCTCCTTCCTTGCGCTTATCTCATGCTTTCCCTTCGTTTCGTGCCATTCCCCATGTCGCTGCCTCCCTGTCTCTGTGCATGTGGTGTTTGTGTGTGCGAGTGTGTGTGTGCGAGTTTGTATGCGTGCGCCCGTGTGTGTGTGTGTGTGTGTGTGTGTGCGTGCATGTGTGTGTATCATCTGTGCATGCTTGCGTGTGTGTGTCCGTGTGCGCTGTGTGTGCTGTGCATGCATGGAGCACAGGTGCCATGTGACGGAGTGGCATACGTGCACACAGAGAGGGCGCAGGTGGTCACCTTCGGCACATGTCCCACAGACGATCAGGTGCGTCGCCATGCCATCACGCCCCACCTAGCTTCCACGCGCCTCAGAACGCCGTGCCATCGCGCTTGCTCATGCTCACCTCCCCTCTCTCTGTGTCCGTCGGCTTATTGAAACTCTATCCACAGCCATAGCACTGCTCATATAGTTCTTCTGACAGTCATGTGCTCAACTGCTTCTCCATCCACTCCCCCCTTCCCCCTTCCCCCTTCGCCTCCGCTCTCCACCCTCTCCTCTCAACCAACTCCACCGCCTTCCAATCAACCCACCCGCTCCCACCTGCGCTCTGCCCGTGCCCCCTCCCTTTCACCCCCGTCACGCCTCACACCCGCTCACCAGGTGCTGGCTATGGTGGCATGGATGCAGAGCTCGTCGCGCCTGTGCGTGACCAAGCCAGTGTTTGCGCCACTCGTGTCCTCCTCCGCGCGACCAGGCGACTGGGGCCCTGCGTGGGCGCTGCACTGCACCGTGGCCGCCGCTGCCATTGCTGACGCCGACGTGCTGCTCTGGTTCCGCCACCGTCAGTCACTCGCCCTGCCCTGCGCTGCCCTGCCCTGCCCTGCCCTGCGCTGCCCTGCCCTGCCCTGCCCTGCCCTGCCCTGCCCTGCGCTGCCCTGCCCTGCCCTGCCCTGCCCTGCCCTGCCCTGCCCTGCCCTGCCCTTCCCTGCCACACTCGTGCACGAGTGCACGCACATGCACCTTTGATGAACACGCTGCGAATGTGTGCGCATTATCATGCAGCCGGCTTATCATGTGTCCCCCAACCTGCCAGCCTTGCAGTTTCTTATGTCTTCTCATGTGCCCATCCCACTCCACCTCCCCTCCTCCTATCTCCCCTCCTCATGAAACGACTCCTCTCAACCTCCCCTCCTTCTCCCCGCCCGTCTCCGCTTCTCACCTCCCCTGTCTTGCCGCATGCGCCTCCCTCTCTGTGTCTGCCAGGCCAGCAGCGCCATCTGGACTGGGCGTGGGCGGAGCCGCTCACAGCAGGCTCTATTACAGCCCTCTCACCGCCCCTCTCTCCGTGTGCCCTTTCCCTCATGTGCCCCTCCCCTACTATGCCTCCCCCCGTGTGCCCCTCCCCCCCCTGTGCCCCTCCCCCCGTGTGCCCCTCCCCCCGTGTGCCCCCCCCCCCCCGTGCGCCCCTCACCCCGTGCGCCGCTCTCTGTGTCTGCCAGGCCAGCAACGCCATCTGGACTGGGCGTGGGCGGAGCCACTCACAGCAGGGGCGCCGCACTGCGGCACGGGCAAGGGCAGCAAGGAGGGCAATGAGTGCAGCAAGGGGAGCGGCGAGAGAAGCAAGGGGGGCGGCGAGGGCAGCGAGGGCGCAGGGGCGTGGGGCGAGGCGGGCAGGGATGAGGGCATGCTGCTGGCCATGCAGCCTGCTGGGTGGACCCAGTCCGAGGTGACGCGCGCTGGGGGGTTGGGGGTATTCCGAGGTGTGGTGTGGGGTGGGAGGGATTGATAGGCGTGTTGTGGGGGAGGATCTATGGGGGAGGGGAGGGGAATGGAGGGGAGTGGGAGAAGGGGTGCAAGAGAGGGAGGGAGACGGAGAGAGAATTCGCTTGGCTGGTGCTGCTCACTGTCTCCGTTCTGTATGTGGCATTTCATCCTCACCCGCCCTTGCTGCTCTCCCGTCCGCTTCTCCTCGTCTGCCCTGCCACCTCCTCCTCACTCCTCCCATCTCCTCACCACTCCTCCCCACTCCTCCCCCTGCCACCCCGCCTCCCCCACTCCCCGTGCATGGCATGGCATGGCATGGCATGTCAGGTGGTTGCAGTGGAGGGGCTGCAGCGCATGGCGTACGACGCACTCAGGGGCAACAGCGAGCCCATGAAGACCATGATCCTCGTGCGTTCCCTGCTGCCCCTGCCCCGCCCTGCCCTTCTCTGCCCCTCCCCTCTCACTTGCATCATTCCCACCCATCACCTCCCTGAGAAGCGTCTCGCTGAAAACTGGATGCACAATATTATGCCGCTTCCACTTTGAATTTCACCCTCTCAAACACTTGCCTAGTCGCGTCTCACCCTCTTAAGCATGCTCCTCCAACCTTGCCGCCTGTGCTGGCAGCAGCGCAGTCTTTCGCTCTTCGAACGGTACGCCGCGCCACCTTGCACCACCTTTTCTATTGCCATTCTTCACCATATCCCTGGCTGTTCCGCCCCTCAACCTCTCCTCTTCTCCCTCCTCCCTCCCCCACCCGCACTCCCCTCCCCAACCCACCTCGTTCCCCTCTTCCCCCCACTCCTGCTCCTTTCTCTTCCCTGCTCCTCTCCCCCCATCCCCCCATGACTGCCACAGGTGCGGTTGAACGAGGAGAGGCTGAGGGCGATGCAGGACCTGGCGATAGTGGCGAGGGACCTGGGGCGAATGATGGACATAGCGCACACGCCCATCCTCGCCGTGGCCCGTGACGGCCGCATCACCGAGTGGAACCAGCGCCTCGCGCAGCTCACTCGCCGCCCCAAGGTGCGCCGCGCAATGCCTTCCTGCCCATGCTTGCTGTGAGATGAGATTCTGGATGGTGGAGGGCTGGGTGGTGGGTGGGTGGATGGTGGAGGGGACGGCATGCAAGACAACACCTGCCTCTCATACATCACCCCCCTCCTCTCGAACCCCCTCCCGCGTCCCCCTCCCCCTTGCCTTCCCCGCCTTGTCCCCTTCCTCCAACTTCCTCACAAACAAAAAATCCTTCTCCCCTCCCTCAATCCCCGCCTCTTGTCCCCTCCCCCACCCCTCCCTCCCTCGCTCTCCCCCCAGGCGTCGGTGGTGGGGCAGCTGCTGTCGTCGGTGGTGTGTGCGGGCAGCATGCAGCAGCTGCAGGCGCGGCTACAGCAGGTAATGGCGGGCAAGGGGCAGGCGCAGGAGCATGTGGAAATCCTCCTGCGCTGCCCTCCCAAGGGCAAGCCCGCACGCACGCCCGGCGCATGCAGGGGAAAGGGGCAGGGGAACGGCAGCGAGGGGGACGGGGTTGGGGAGGAGGACGACGAAGACGAGGAGGAGGAGGTGGGGAAAGAGGGGAAGGAGGAGGGTGAGGGGGAGGAGGAAGAAGAGGAGGAGGTGATGGTGCTGATGGCGACGGTGTCCCCCCAGCGGGATGGGCTGAACGAGATAGTGGGGGCGACGATGATCGGGCAGGATGTGACGGAGCAGCGGCGCACCATGCAGCAGTGGGCGGAGAACGAGACGCGCGCCGTGCCCAGCGACTATGAGCAGATACTGGACAAGGCCAGCATGCCCATCTGGGCTGTGGACAAGGATGGCCGCATTGTGGAGTGGAATGCGTCCATGGCTAAGGTGCGTGCAGGTGGCTCTTGAGGCGCCGCGCTGAGTGCACGTTCTTCATCTCCCCATCACCCCACCACGTCCCCTGCCCCCCGTCATCACCACACAATCTGCACTCGCGCCAACACACCCGTCTCACCCACTCTCACCTTTTCACACACCACACTCCCCATCTTCCCCCCATGCCCCCATTCCCCCACGCACCTATCCCCCATCACGCCGCTCACCCCGGCCCCCCCGTCAGACAAGCGGCATCAGCAAGGAGCAGGCGGTGGGGAAGCGCATAATGGGCGACCTGGTGGGGGACGAGCGCGTGCTGATGGTGCCCGACAGCGACACACTGCTCTCCCTCGACTTCGCCATCCACCGCGCCCTCGCCGGCCACCGCACGCCCACGCTCAACTTCCGCTTTGTCAACCACGAGGGCCGCCAGGTCGAGTCGGTGATCAGCATGCGCGCGTGCCATGACCCGAAGGATGATGGGGATGGCGCAGATGGGGGAGGAGGAGGCGCGGGGAAGGGGTCCCGCGTGCTGTGCTTCATGCAGGATGTGACCATGCGCAAGGCGGTGGAAAAAGCCATGGTGGTGCGCCATGCGGCTGAAGCGGCGGAGGATGCCAAGTCCCGGCACCTGGCGTTCCTGTGCCACGAGATTCGCAACCCGTTGAATGGTATTCTCGGGAATATCACCTTCATGGAGGATACGAGGCTGTCGGAGGAGCAGCAGGAGCTGGTGGAAACCACCGCGACGTGCGGTTACCAGCTGAGGAAGATCGTCGAAGACGTGCTGGATATGAGTCAGATACAGGAGGGGCGGATAGAGCTGGAGAGGCACGAGCTGAACCTGCCGAGGATAGTGAACGCGGTGGTGAGCCAGGTGGGGCTGGCGGCGGCTAAGAAGGGCCTGCAGCTGTACGCGAACATCGACCCGCGCTGTAATGACGTGCGCCCGCTGGGAGACGCTCCCAGGCTGCAGCAGGTGCGTGTGGTTGCTGGGGTATGCATGCGCTGTGCTTGTGCGTGTGCTCTTTGCATGCTGGCTTACACTGTACAGTATGAAGGACACAGCACGTGGCCCGTGGCACACGGTATATAATCCACTATTCCACAAAATCCTAAATTGGCTCCTCTGGGCACTGTGCCTTATTCTCCAATTCATTCATTGCCTTCCACTGTCCAAGGCCTCTACTTGCAGCTCTGCTCTTACAACATCCTCCCACCCCACCACAACTCATACCCAACGCTGCCGCCCCACACCTCTCTATCCCTTGCTCTTGGCCCCTCCCCCCCACCCGCCCCTCCTCCTCCCCTCAACCCCCTCACCACCACTCCCCTGCGCAGATCCTATCCAACTTCGCATGGAACGCCATCAAGTTCACGCACGCTGGATGGGTGGAGATCGGTATCGCCATGCACCCCAGCCACCTCCCGTCGCCCTCCTCCTCCTCCCTCACCGCTCTCTCCAAAGCGGCAGCCGGCGCAAGCGGCAAGGGCAAGGTGGGGAGCAGCAGCGGCGGCGGGGGAGGCGAGGGGGCGGAGGGAGAGGAGGAGAGCGCGCGGTTTGTGTTCCGAGTGGCGGACTCGGGCGAGGGTATCCCCGAGAGCCTCAAGCAGCGGCTCTTTGAGCAGTTCGCCACGGGCCGCAAGTCCGCCTCCAGCCAGTGCGTGATGTGATGTGATGTGATGTGATGTGATCCCTGGAGGGGTGTGATCACTAGGGGGTGTTGGGTTGGGGATTTGGTGTGGAAGGGGGAGGGTGGGGGAGAAGGGGAGGGTGGGTGCTGCATGGTCAGGGAGGGGTATGGGTGGGGTGTAAGGTAGGGCGTGGGGGAGGGTGTGCAGGGCATGGGCCATCCATCGGGTGGGGCTATGTTGGTCGTTACCGGTTGTTGCTAGCTGACTCCTGCTTGTGCAACAAGCGATGCAGCTTGCGTTGATAGCTGCACATGCATCTGTCCTCCCTCCACTCCCCACCCTCCTCCCTCCACTCCCCACCCTCCTCCCTGCACTCCCCACCCTCCTCCCTGCACTCCTCACCCTCCTCCCTCCACTCCCCACCCACCGCTCTCCCCCAACGCACCAGGTATGGCGGCACAGGGCTAGGTCTCTCCATCTGCCAGCAGCTAGCGTCGCTGATGGGGGGGGAGATCAAGTGCACGTCGGAGGTGGGCAAGGGCTCTATTTTCTCCCTAGAGGTGCAACTGCACCTGCTCCCACCCCACACCCACACCCACACCCACACCCACACCGCCCATGCTGCCACCACTCCAAGAGGCTTGCCCGCGCCCCCTTCCCCCCCGTCCTCCTCCGCCTCATCCCCTCCGCCCTCCCCCTCCGCCACCGGCCCCCTGGCTCTGCCTCCGCTCCCCCCTCCCCCCTCCCAAGCCCCTGGCTCTGCTGCTCTGGGCACAGGCGCGGGTGCGGGTGAGGGGGTGGGCAGTGCGGTAGGGCAGGCGCGGGGGCAGGCAGAGGGGGAAGCAGTGCGGCAGCAAGGGGGGATGGTGGCGCGCAGAGGGGGAGAGGCGGAGGGAGGTAGTGGGAAGCAGGGTGGGGGTGATGCGGGGATGCCAGGGGGGGGAGTGGGGAGGGATGGGGGTGGGCCTGATGCGGAGGAGCACAGGGGAAGGAACTGGGAGGGGAGGGGAACGGCCGAGTCTGGGTGGAAGGTGCGGCAGCAGCAGCAGCAGCAGCAGCAGCAGCAGCAGCAGCAGCAGGATGAGGGGAGGGAGGAGATGGGCTTTGAGAGAGCATTGGAGCACAGGGGAGGAGTGGCAAGGGGTGGGGAGTCAAGCGCCCAGTTGACTAGTGGGGGGCCTGCAGCAGCAGCCACGCACAGCAGCGGTCAGATGGATACAGCAGCACGGGAAGTGGCGCCGGTGGTGACAGGGGGAAGGGGAGGAGGCGGGGATGGAGAGTATGTGTCTGGGGAAGGAAAGGGAGGAGGGGGAGGAGAAGGAGGAGGAGCAGGCGGAGGAGGAGGGGGGGGAGGGGGGAAGGGGGGTGGTGAGTTTCGTGAGCCGTCGTTCCAGTCGGGAGAGGCAGCGTCATCAGAGGGACCAGCAGCACACATGCTGCACACACTCCTGCTCAACTCCCGCCTCCATAAATCATCCCCCTCACTCCGCCCGCCGCCCGCAGCAACCTCTCCTCTCAAGCGCAGCCCATCCACCTCCTCTCCCGCTGCTGCCCCCCCTGCACACCCCACCATCCATTCCTCCTCCTCCTCGCCCTCTCTGCCCTCTTTACCCTCCCTCTCCTGCTCCGCACCCCTCAACTCTTCCACTCCTACCATCCCCCCTTCTCCCCGCCCTCCCTGTCCCTCCGCCCCGCGCTCGCCCCGCCGCCCGCCCACACCAGGGAGGGGGGTGGCGCAGAGAGGGGGTGGGGGAGGGAGCAGCTTGGCAGGTGCAGCGGGCACAACAGGTACGCGAATCAGTGGGAGCAGTGGTTTGGAAACAGGCCGTCAGCAGCAGCAGCAGTCGCAGCAGCAGCAGCAGCAGCAGCAGCAGCAGCAGCAGCAGCAAGAGGAACAGCAAGCACCACAGCAGCAGCGTTGGCAGCAGGGCCTTCCTGGGTTGGCAGTTGTGGTGGAGCAGGGGTATGATGAAACGCACACCACGCCTTCCCACCACACTGCACCGCGTGGCTCCTCTCCTGCTTCTTCCTCTGCTGCTGCTGCCGCTGCTGGTGGCGGTGGCAGTTTCAGTGAAGCAAGTCCAGCAAGTGATTTGCCTGGGGGGTTCAACATTGAAGCACTCACATCAGGCACCCAATCTGACCCCAACAACCCTTGGACATTCGACCACACCAGCCTGCAGCACTACAGCCAATACCCGCCACTGCCCCGAGCCGGTACCCCATCTCCGCGTCAAATGGCCGCCTCGCCTGAAGCCATGCGCGCTGACTCACTGCTGAGTCAGCTGCCGTCCTCGGTGTTCCACCTGGCGCGGCCGGCGCTGAGGGAGCGAATGGCGGCCTCCTCCAACGGCGGCATCCCAACTCGCTCCTTCACCGACCCTTCCCGGCGCTCCTTTCCCCCCCGCTACCCCCCGCCTGATGCCCCCCCTGCTGCTGCAGCCGACGGCGCCGCTGGTGCCGGTGGCAGCAGCAGCAGCAGCAGCAGCAGTGGTGGTGTCATTCTGCAGAGGTCGCTGTCATCTCCTTTATCCGGTGCACCAGCCGCCGTCCGTGGCAGTGCGTCAGCAGCAGCAGCAGCAGCGCACTCACACCATGCTGCCGCGTCGCTGATTGCACCGCCCCTTGCCAGCAGACCCATGGTAGCGTGTGCGGATGGGAGGAGTGTGGAGGGACAGGGTGACGGAACGAGTGCAGGGCTGCAGGGAGCTTTTGCTGGCTATGCGCGATCTTCTTCTGCCCTCACAGGCGTGACCCCAGCTGCTTCCCAGCAGCAGCAGCAGCAGCAGCAGCAGCAGCAGCAGCAGCAGCAGCAGCAAGTGCAAGCATTTGTGGTCCCGTCAGCAGTGCAACAACCCGCACACACAACGCTCCCTCTCTCCCCGTACATACCTTCCTCTCCCACGCCACCAGGAGCAGCTGCAGCAGCAGCATCGCCGTCAGGTTCGTCTGCACCAAGTGCAGCAGGCGCAGGGTCCGGGGCAGGAGGCAGTGCTGCAATCGTGCAAGCAGCGGCAGCGGCAGCAGGCATGGTCACTGCAGCAGCCACGGCCGTGGCAGCAGCATCAGTGGCAGCAGCAGCAGAGGCATCTACTCGACAAGCAGCAGGCGCGGATGGAGCAGTGGAAGGGGCGTCTATTATAGACGAGCTGAGGAGGTGCATGAAAGGAGAGTGGAGTTTCCACGTGGTGAGAGAGGTGGTGGCTAGTGATGCTGTGGCAGTGCTTGTAGAGATGACAGTGGGGTCTACGGTGCGGCAGCAGTGGGGCGCCATGCCCTGCCCGGCCCCCATCACGCCTGCGCTCATGCTCCCCGCTGCCACCTCGCAAGCTCTCTCTGCTGCTGCTGCTCTCTTTGGGGTTTCTCTGGGTGGAGTGCAGGGGGGCCGGGATGTGGGGCGGGGAGGGGAGGAGGAGGAAGGAAGGGAGGAAGGGGGGCCGGGATGGGTGAGGAGCAAGGGGAGGAAGGGGAAGGAGAGGCAGGAGGAAGGGGGCTGTGTGCGTAGGAAGGGGAGGAGTGGGAGTGCGAGTGGGAGGAGGGAGTTAGGAATAGGAGGGCTAGAGAGTGTCACAGAGGAGGGCTGGGTCGGAGCAGAGGAGGGGCAGGGACAGGAGGTAAGAGACAAGGGATGCCGCCCAACAGCCGGGCCCTCCAGGCAGCAACAGTGGCATGCCCCGCTAGACCCTGACAGCTGGCAGCCGCCCAGTAGGTACGGCGGGGGGCAGGGTGAAGGAGGAAAGGGCGTGCGTGTGCCTGGGTCCAGCATGGTCCGAGTGCGTTCCGCCCCCTCTCTCTCCCTGCTCGTCTGCCCCCCCTCACCTTCCACTCCCGACCCTTCCCCTGCTGGCCCCTCTCCCGCCGGCCCTTTCCCTCCTGCAAAGCCCTTGGTGAATGGAGCGATGGGATTTGGGGGCAGGCGCGCGGGATTGCGGCAAGGGGGGAGGGTAGGGGAAGGACAGGCTACTACACTCAGAGTGTCCTCTCAGCCACACTCACCCCCCTCCTATTCCTCCTCTTCCTCCACCTCTTCCGCCTCCTCCTCCTCATCCGCCTCCTCCTCCCAGTCGTCCCCCCGGCATCTACCGCACGCCCTCGTGCGTGCTCTGAAGCCAAACCTCGGCACGCTTTCCGCATCGCCCCTTGCTGCTGCCACGGCTGCAGGGGGTGCAGCTGGTAGGGCTGCAGGGGCAGGGGGGACAGCAGGGCTAGGGGGAGTGGCAGGAGGAGGAGGGGTAGCAGGAGCAGGGGGGGTAGCAGGGGCAGGGGGGACAGCAGCAGGGAGCTCGCCATACTTCTCACGAGAAGCATCGAAGCTCATGGGCGCTTTGAACCTGTCTCTGCACAAAGCCACCAATGCCCCTGCTGCCCTCGCCACACCTGCTCAGCAAGAGCCCTTGCCAGTACCAGCAGCCGTAACAGCAACAGCGGTTGCGACAGGAACAGCGACAGGGGGAGCGGTACCAGGCACATTAAGCACTTCACGGGCAGTGGACGTTCGTGGAATGGGAGTGAGAATGGCAGGAGAAGGACCAGCACGAGCAGCAGTCGCAGCAGGGGTGGTAACAGCACGAAGCAGTGCAGTGCACATAAGCCCCTCGTCACCGTCCCATCCCCCTTCCTCTGCACCGGGCCCCCCACCCTCCGCTCCCACTGCCATCCCTGCTGCCTCGCTCTTCTCTCGCTCCCCCTCCACCCAACTCCTCACTTCCGTCTCCTCGCCCACCCACTCCCCCTCCCCCTCGCCCTCCCTCTCGCTCCTCCACGCGTCTGAGGGCTCTTGGAACGGCACGGGAGCAGCACGAGGGCCCACAGGCTCTCCTGTGTTCTCACACATGCCTCGCCTGCAGCCCGCTGCGTCCCTCCCGTCCTCCTCCTCCGTCACCTCCCATCCTCGCAAGCGCGCATCGGACCTTTTCTCCATGCCCAACCCCCCCCCGTCAGTGCAGCCGCAGAGAGACACTCAGCAAACAGCAGCAGCAGCAGCAGCAGCAGCGTCGGGAGCAATGGGAACACAAGGGGCAGAGGTGGAGGGTGGCGAAGTGGTAAGGGAGATGCTTGGTGCTGTGGAAGTGGGCAGGGGAGGTGACACTATCAGGCAGGCAGAGTTTGGGCCGAGTCACGTTAGCATACGGTGTGTGAGGAGCAGCAGTGGCAGCCTGAGCAGCCTGGGCGGCAGCGGCGGCAGCAGCAGCAGCAGTGGCGGAAGCGGTGGCATTCTTGGCGGTGGCAGCAGGGGCGTGGGCAGCAGTGGGGGCAGGGTGCACGAGCCGCTGGCGAGTGCAAAGAGCCTGCCAGTGCCAAGAGTGGAAGGGGCAGAGAGCAAGGGGCAGAGGGCGCAGGGGGCAGGGGCAAGGCAGGCTGGTGGATCGGGCGAGGCGGGGGCGAAGGAGTATAAGGTGGGCAGGGAGCGCTGATTGTGGGGCTGTGTGGTCTGTGTGGGTGGGTAAGGGAGAAGGGGGGGGGGGGTATGATGCGTGTGGTGCTGGTGTGTGTGGTGAAGCCGTACGTGCATTCCCCAATCACCAGCATAGCGTTGTAAATAGTTCTGTGCCCTGCCGTCTCCATCTGCTCTGCTTCTCTAGCATTCAGTAGTGACTCCTGTCCCTCAATGTATCCTCAACTTCGCATTGCTGCGTGTGCGTGTGCATGTTTATGGTGTTGCGTGAATGTGTATGTGCATGGTGTCGTGTTTGCATGTGCATGTGAGCAGGTGCTGGTGATTGATGATGAGCCGGTCAACATACGGGTGGTCAGGCGAACCCTTGAAAGGCAGGCACCACGCCCACTCTCTTCTCGCACCTGCCAAGCTCAGCCCTCTCGTCTTCCCATCCTCGTCTTACAATCTACATCCACCTCTCCCTGCTTGGTGGTCACTCTCGTGGCAATCTACTCCCGAAACGTTCCTCGCTCAAGAGTTTCATCGCATCTCATCCCATCCCTTCTCATCTCATCCATCTCATCCCCCTGATGGAATGAGCAGGGCGCAGTTTGAGGTGGTGGCGGGGTCGGATGGCATGGATGCCGTGGAGCGAGTCATCAAGCGCGGAGAACGCTTCGATGCCCTGCTGCTCGATGAGAGGTGCGCTCCCTGCACCCTGCTCCATGCTACGTGCACCATGCACCATGCAGCATGCCACATGCCGCATGCACCACACAGCATGTGCATGCACATGCATTGTCACAGGCTGTGCATGCACCATTCTCGAAGCTTCTCCATGCGCTGCATCCTTTCTGCACTCTCATCAAGTCGTTGTTTCATGTGCTGTCTGTTGCTGCACTGCTGCTGCTGTGTATGTGGTTGTATGTGGCAGGCTCAAAGTAATGAATGGCAGTGAGGCGTGCATGCGTGTGAGAGAGTATGAAGCAGCCAATGGGCTCCTGGAGACGCCTATAGTGGCCATTTCAGCCAATGTGGAGCCCGATGATATCGTAAGCCAACTCCTTCTCCCACTTTTCTCCCTGCATGCAACACATTCATTCCCCTAGCATGTGCTTGAATGTACCAAGGGCCGCTGTTCTGGGATGTTGTTCTGGCCTGCTTTGTCTCATGCCTGTACCCATTGTTGTACCTCATGTCTACTGCAGAGGCGGTATGCCATGGCAGGGTATTCAGCTGTGCTTGGGAAGCCAATCAATGTGCGAACAGCAGGCACCCGGTTACGTGCTCTCTTGGGAGCTTTCAAGCCGCCCACGCCGAGTCGGCGGGCGGAGCTACAACAAGGCTCGAATGTGAAGATATGCAGGGAGGACGAGATGATAATTTTCTCTTGAAATATGATTTTCATGCATTGGCGTACCAAGACCAGATCCGGTAGTGTCTGCAACAGGTACTTGATACAATGTAGCTAGTTTTACGGTGGCTCTGTTTTTCAGGGTCTGAATAAGGTACATTTCAGTTGTGTGTCTGAGGTACATTTCTCATATGGCAAGTAAACACTAGCTGGTTGGGTGTTATTAACACAGCATGCCATTTCTCATCCTGGAAATCCAGATACTGTATTTGATTGTTATTGTTCCGTCTTCCTTGTCCAGTGCGAAACCAGCACCCTTAGACGTCATCAATTGCGCAAACTCTGGTGAACACTGTATTGACGACGTGGCGTATATCTAATTGGTTACCATTTCTACCTTATCGGGAATGCCTTCGACCTTCTTGGCGGGAAATGGGTGGTCATTGATGGATCACGCGGTGTAAAGTTATCACCGATCAACCACGCACAGAAATGAATCAAGGGTCAGCAGCGCGTCAGATACTGTACGTAACCTGTTACGCACTGTACGCCACTGTGGAATCAACGGCGAGGCGAGGCGATAACTGCTGCCGTGCCGAGCCGAACACCACCAGCTGGCATTGCCAAGCCAACCCCTTCCTAGCCTCTTTCCCAAACCTCACCGACCGACACACCCCACAGAACCACCCAACCACCACAACACCCATCCACCGCCCTAGAAATGCGAAGCACGAATCAAACGCAGGGGATGATTTTCTGCTCGGTTAGGACGGGGTATAAGTGCCCACTTAGGAATTGTCTTTCTAGGTTTTGTATACCAGTTCCACGACAGAAGTCTATTTTCCCATCTGCCTCCATGGCTCTCCGTTCTTTCCGTTGCTGTCGTTGCCGTTGGCTTTTTGTGTTGACGCTACTATCTGTCCTCCATTGCGTTTTGACCGCTGAGATCGTACCGACTGCCAGTAATGCACGACACGCTTTGCCAGCAAGCGACCACAGTCAACCATTTGACACCCAGTTTACTAGCGGCATTGGTCGCGCTTTCGTTGCAAGAGATGCTCGAGGCAGGCAGCTCGCGTCGTCACCTCCCCTTTCCTCCGGCAGCTCGGCGTGGGAGCGCGCGATAGCAGCGCTGAAGCCCGTGATGTACGGCGTGGTGGCCGCCATGACCGTCGGCGCGGAGAGCGATGTCCCCACTGATGCGCTCCGCACGCTGCTGGCGCCCGACGTGGTCGTCACGGCCAAGGTCCGCCTGCTAAACGCGGCGGATATCAGCGGCATAATATGGGAGGAACTCACTACTAGCGGAGAAAGCAAGCTGGTGCCGTACTCTCCAACCGTGGCGCTGCTGCACCTGCGGTTCGAGCAGCGCGCCGAGTCCCAGGGCTCGGCCACGCCACTGACGTCGCGCACGTGGCCCTTTCCGGACTCCGCGCAGCACCCACCAGTCTACGCCACTCCGCTCGCGTTCCTCTCGCCCATCGTCTCCTTCCGCCTCTACCCCGGCACTCCCGTGGGGTCAGCGGCACAGCAGAAAGAGCTCAGCATCGTGGAGCTGGGAAGCGATTACACCCAGTACACATTATTCCAGCTGTCTCTTGGTGTTTCGCAATCGTTTTTTTCTTTTCCACGAAAGTGCACTCAGATAAATCTCCAAGGCGGTATAGACCAGCAGACGCTGACGCTTCAAGGTCCTTCTCCTCATCAAGCAGAGTGTTTCAAGTATACCACATTCAACAGCAGCTACTTCTTCGTGCTCACGAAGCCGGTGGACATTCAATACCAGGTTAAGCTTCCGCCACCCCCTCCGCCATCCCCCCCGCCTCCCCCCAGCCCCCCTTCTCCGCCTCCGCCTCCCCTAGCTCCTCCTTCCCCGCCACCTCCCTCTCCGCCTCCACCCCCGCCGGCTGGAGGCAGCAACACGGCCCTGATCTTGGGCATCAGCATTGGCGTGGGCCTCGTGGTGCTGCTGCTGACAGGCGGTCTGGCGGCGTTCGTCTATATCTGGACGGTCAGGCGGAAAAAGCACGCGCAGTCTCAGCCCGAGGGCAACGTGGGACGCGCGCATCTGATCGCTGCAATATCTACCGTGAAAGGCGGTGCTGCGCAAGGCTCTTCACGTGCGGAAAATAGCATCGCACCCACAGCCAGTGGAGGAGCAGCCTCAGGACGTGCCAGTCGAAGAGGATGATAGACCTGGATCGGCGCCATGGGAGCATAATTTATGGCATGATCTACGGCATGATTTACCTGGATCGAAGGATGTAACGGGCAGCGCGCTGACAACGTCGAGCCTTTTCGCCTGTAAGTGAACTCGTGCCTTGTGCCCCGGACAAATCTCCAACAGCCATTCCACATGTTTCTGGTGGCTCCATTATTAACCAGTGCCTTCTGTTCTAACATATTGATGGTTACCCCCTGCAGGGTATGCAGTGGCAGGGTGACTGGGGACGCATCAAGTGACCTGAGCGTGGCAGAAATTGAAAGGATGGCATTGAATGGACTAACCTACTTGTTGACATATCGACTTTCTGCACAAAATAGAACGACTGTTAGTGGGGTGAAGTGATTTAGCCGTGAGACATTGCTTACTCGTCCGAATTAGCATCCGTGTTGCTACATGATAACTTATGTTCAGGGCAGAGTACGGCATCCTACTTCACAATCCAAACAAGCAAGAAAGAATCTTACCCACCCAGTCGGCGGACAACTTCTGCTGGCACTAAAGCTGCTGTGCCTGCTTGCAGGCATGCCCCTACCTGACTCATTCCCTTAGATCTTCAAGTCAAGCCTTCTTTCCCTCCACGTAGCCCGCTCATGCCAAAGCTAAAAGGAATCTCCCCACTGTTGCTCACCCCACTGCCCAGGTCCCCTGAGCGCAGCTCCCCTGAATGCACCGCTCCTTCATACCCCACTCCCCTTGCCAAGCTCGCCGACGACGGCCCCGCTATCTCCCCACTGAGCACTTGCAGACTGTACAACTCACCACCGTCGTTGTCATATTGGTAGTCATAATCATTTTCATCGTTTGAGGTCATTCCTGCTGCTGCTCTTGCTGCCGCCGTCGCTCCTGCAAGTGTTGCTCCCACTTCCGCTGCTTGGTCTACCTCTTCTGCCGGTATGATTGCTGCTGCTTGCAGCACTGTGGGAGGTTGTGGTGGTGTGTGCAGTGGCGCTGACAGTGGCGATGGTGCCAGTGCAGCAGCAGGTGCAAGGTTCCTCACTCGTGTTCTAGACCCCACCGACAGAGGAAGCGACGAAGAAGTTGCAGAATCATACTCCATTTCCTCCTCCTCGTTACGCTCATCACCGTCACCATCACCACGATCAGCACTTCCATCTAAACAATCGCCTCCTCCTCCCTCCTGCACTTGTCCTGGCGCGTCTCTTGCCACCAGAGCCACACACTCAAGCTCAGATGCCAACCTCCCACTCTCCACACCCTCCACACCCTCCCCACTATTCATGCCGCTAGATCTGTCAACTTTACCCGAATCCTCAGGAAGAGAGACCAGCACTGCTCCTCCTTCTCCTCCTCCACATCCAACAACACCACCACCACCGCCAGACTTGCTACTACTGCCTCCAACACTCCCTGTTCCGCGGCTCCCTCTGCTTCTGCTCCCAACCCCGTCGCCCTCGTCCCCCTCACTGATAGCCGATCCTGCAGCAACAGTACCACCACCACTCCCTTCCGCTGCCCTGCTACCTCTTTTAAGCGCACTCCTGCTCACCAGTTCGCCGGACAGACCGGGAATCGGGGCGCCAGAACCACCACCCGTGCCGAAACTACCACTCCTACCTTCACTGCCGCTACCAGCAGCACTGGCAAAGGCGTGCGCTTGGCTGCTCACATAGTCACCACTCAGATCCCCGCTCATCTCCCCACTGAAAAAGGCCTCGTTTAGATCCTGGCTGTTGAGCATCTCCCCACTCAAAAAACACCCACCCGCCGCTGCCGCCGCCGCCGCTGCTGCCGCCGCAGCAGCACCGCCACCAGCACCACCCCCTGCAGCATCTGTCGCATCACCTGCCACATCAGCATAGAACCCACTGAAGGTGGGATCGGGGGGCGGAGTCCCCCGCAGGCTGAAGCGGCGCTTGATAATCACTAGCAGACGGCGCAGTACGGTGGGCATGCTAGGGCGGCGCAGGGACGGCATCTTGACGCAGTCCACTGCTAGCTCTCCCAGTGCCTGGAAGGCCTGTAGGTGAGCTGGGATGGCGATGCGTGGGTCTGTGATCAGATGTACCTCGTGCTCCTTGATGTAATGGACGGCCTGGATTGAAGCAGGGCGTGGGCAGGTGAAATGGGGCACATGGCCGGGAGGAGAAGGGGAGGAGGGGGGATTGGAGGGTTGGGGGTTGAGGTGACAAGAAAGGATGTAACACTTCTAAAAGTGCCAACCTCCCACATCCACTCTCTTCCGCGCCCCTCCATACAGGTTACCCAGCCCCATCAGTTCTCAATCCACCTCCCCCCACCACTTTCCACCACTCCCGCATCCTCCTTTCCTCCTTTACCCCCGTTTCCCCGTTCCCCGGTTTCCCCCGTTCCTTGCACTACGTACCCAGTCAGTGATGTTGAGACGCTGGTGGGGGTCGTCCTGGTCAGGCATGATGGCCAGGCGCCCCGTCAGCAGCTCCAGTAGCACCACGCCATAGCTGAGAGGGGGGACGATGGGGGGGAGAGAGGAGAGTGTTGGGGGAAGGGAGTGATGGGGAATCGAGAGGTGGAGTGCACGTGCTGCCTAATGATAGCCAGGCGCCCCGTCAGCAGCTCCAGTAGCACCACACCGAAGCTGGGGGAGGGGGGAAGAGGGGGGGATGTGAGGGGAAAAGCGGAGTGAGGGAGTTGAGGGGAGAGAGGGGAGAGACGGGAATGTTGGGGGAAGGTCATGGAGGGGAGCAGTGCGAAGGGGGGTGTAGGAGGTGAAGGGCATATGCTGCAAGGTAATGACCAGCCACCCTGTCAGAGGGAGGCAGAGAGAGAGTCAGAGAGAGGCAGAGAGAGAGTCAGAGAGAGAGTCAGAGGGAGGCAGAGAGAGAGTCAGAGAGAGGCAGAGAGAGAGTCAGAGAGAGGCAGAGAGAGAGTCAGAGAGAGAGGCAGAGAGAGAGTCAGAGAGGCAGAGAGAGAGTCAGAGAGAGAGGCAGAGAGAGAGTCAGAGAGAGAGGCAGAGAGAGGCAGAGAGAGGCAGAGAGAGAGTCAGAGAGAGGCAGAGAGAGAGTCAGAGAGAGAGTCAGAGGGAGGAAGAGAGAGAGTGAGAGAGAGAGGCAGAGAGAGGCAGAGAGAGGCAGAGAGAGAGTCAGAGAGAGGCAGAGAGAGAGTCAGAGAGAGAGGCAGAGAGAGAGTCAGAGAGAGAGGCAGAGAGAGGCAGAGAGAGGCAGAGAGAGAGTCAGAGAGAGGCAGAGAGAGAGTCAGAGAGAGATTCAGAGGGAGGCAGAGAGAGAGTGAGAGAGAGAGGCAGAGAGAGGCAGAGAGAGGCAGAGAGAGGCAGAGAGAGGCAGAGAGAGGCAGAGAGAGGCAGAGAGAGGCAGAGAGAGAGTCAGAGAGAGAGTCAGAGGGAGGCAGTGAGAGAGTGAGAGAGAGAGGCAGAGAGAGGCAGAGAGAGGCAGCGATCTGAGGACGCCTGACTTGGTGTGCGGTGCCTGGTGCGGCATAATCACCAGCTCCGGGTCCACATACCCTCCCTCCTCGTGAGGCACGCACGTCTCTAACCACATATACATACACCCACACACACTCACACCCATAAAGAGCCACACACCTGAAGACGTCTGACTTGGTGTGTGGCGCCTGGTGCGGCATGAGCACCACCTCCGGGTCCACATACCCCTCTTCCTGCGCCCTTCTCGGCACCACGCTGCCGCGCCGCTCACTTGACAGCCGCGCAAAGCACAGATCCGCCAACTTCGCCTGCTTGCAAAGGGGAAGGGGAGGGGGGAAGGGAGAGGGGGGAGAGGGGAGGGGAAGGGAGAGGTTGGAAACGAGAGGGGGAATACTGAGACGACTTAGAAATCCACCAGCTTTACCTACTCACTGAAGGGAACCGTGCAGCACCACCTTTCTTCCTCTGCCACTCTCGATTCAACAACTCCTTTCCCCATCATCTACCCCCTCTCCTCTCCATCCCCACTCTCCCTCACCTCAACCATCCCCCCTTCCTCACACCCCACCTCTCTCCCCTACCCCACCGCACCTGCATCCCAGATGCGGACACCATGATATTCCCGGGCTTCAGATTCCGGTGCACGATCGGCGGGCGCTGCGAGTGCAGAAAGCACAGCCCCTCAGCCACCTCCACAGCAACCCTCAGCCGCTGCTCCAGCGACAGAACATCATCACGGCACCGGTGCAAGCGGTGGAAGAGGGACGAGCGCGGGGGAAGGTGCTCGTAGACTACTAGGCGCTCCAGCCCTTCATGGCACGCCCCCAGGATGCGCACCACGCTCTTGTGCTGTGCCCTGGCCACCACACCAACCTCCTCCAGGAATGATAGCCCCTGCTCCTCTTGCGCTTGGCCCTGCGCTTGCCCCTGCCCTTGCCCCTGTCCCTCCTGCTGCCCTTGCCCCTGTCCTCCCTGCTGCCCCTGCTCCAGCCCCTCTTGTGACTCCTCATCTGCTCCCTCTGCTGCTCCTCTCCCTGCTCCTGCGCTCAGCCCTACGCATCTCCTCCTTCCCCCGCGTCCTCCTCCCGCTCCTTTCCCCCTGCCCACCCACTCCACCTGCTTGTATCGCTTCACGGCCCACATCTGCCCGGTTGGTCCTCTCGCAGTGTACATATCTCCATATGCCCCCCCTGTGCCCCCCACCCCTGCTCCGCCACCAACCACAAACGCATCGCGACCACTACCACCAGAAGAAGCATTACCAGCAGCAGTGGTAGCAGCACCAGCAGTCACAGCAGCACCAGCAGCACCATCAGCATTACTGGGCCAATGTCTCTCAGCGTTTCCTTTTGGCGTGCGTGCTGCTGCCCCGGCAACAGCACCAACAGTAGCAGCCACGCCCCCAACCGCCGCAGCAGCCACAGCCGCAGCCGCAGCAGCCGCCGCAGCAGCAGCAGAAGTGGGAGTGGTGGGGGTGGCATCAGCAGGAGGGGCGCCGTCTGGAAGGAGCAGGCGCGGGGCGAAATTGTCTGTTGCTCTCTGCATCTCTGAGAGCTTGAATATTTGGAACGCCTTGGCTTGGCCTATTCCCGTGTCTTCCCAGGTTAAGATGTGGGCTGTGTGGGTGGGCGGGTGGGAGAGAAGGAAAAGGCTTTTGAGGCACCCGAAAAGACCTTCTACCAGATCCGCATCCCGAATGGGGTGAACTTCGAGCCGTTTCAACGTTCAAGATATGGGAATGCTTGGGTGTGTACGGAGGATGGGAAGGAGGGAGGTTCGAGTCACCTCAAGACTAACACCAGCTTGAACCAGACATAGGTAAAGAATTATGATTATCATGAGATGCTCACAGCTGCGTCGCGCTTGGATCCAGAAGTAAATGCAGCCAATGCAGGAGGACGCAAAGAGGGCTGCCAGTATGATCACACCGATCGCCCACGGACTCACCCCCCCTCCACTCCCTCCGCTGCTCTCCCCCCCTCCTCCTCCTGACCCTGGTGCATTTGCTGCACTTTCTGCTGCACCGGCTGTTGCATCGGCTGCTGTACTCGATGCAAAGAAACGGAGAAGGGAAGAAATGGACGGTGCAGTTGATGTGGGTTGATTTGGAAGGGGAGGGGAAGTGGGAGAGATGAAGAGGCAGACGATAGTAACGTGGGGTCAACGAGAGCGTAACAAGTGTTTAAAAAAGAGTGGGGTGCGTTTTGAAATTGCTGAAAACAAACACATCAGAGCATAGTAAGGAGAATGGAATCAGGCAAGAGCATCTCGAACATGATAGTGTGATGATGAGGAGACAGGCGAAGGGCAATGGAAAGTAACAGAGGAGCGGAAGAAAGAGTGAGAAACTTCACAAGAAACAGAAGGCAAGACATAGGCCATATTGTAGAATGCTATCGATTCAGGCTGTAGGTAACAAGGATCTTGCCATTGGAGGAGATGGGCAGGAGTGAAACGCCGTCAACTGCAACAAAGAACGTGCGCTCACTGCTGCTGCTGCTGCCGGTAACACTGCTGGTACTGCTACTGCTAGCTTGGATGCTGCTGTTGCTGCTTCCTTCCCCACCTGCTGAAGAGGCGGCTGGTGGAGGTAAAGGCGTGAGGGTGACAGTGGCTGAAGTGGAAGAGGGGGTGAGGGAGAAGGAGGATTGGATGTATACTACAGTGGAGGAATTACACTCTGTGGAAGGAGGGGTTGAGGGAGAGGGAGAAGGGGACGAAGACGAGGAGGAGGAAGAGGAGGAAGAGGAGGAAGAGGAGGAAGAAGAGGAGGAAGAGGAAGATGATGAGGATGGAGAGGGGATAACGGTATCTGAACATTGCAGGGTGAGTGTTTTGAATAAGCCAATCTCTCCTCCTGTGCTTCCCTCCACCACGCCATTCCCCTTGACTTGCACCTCAACTGACGCCCCAGGAGTGCCAAACACTGATAGAGTCAGGTTATACTGCTGCCCGGATGAAACTATTAATTCTTGCTCTACGCTGCCCGACGTGCACTCTGCCCCGGGCCATGCCTGCCCGAGGAAAAAAATATTTGGGCAGCTGAGGAGGACGAGACTGGATGAGCCAATGAGGGGCCGCAGGGGGATATTGGCCCCTGGGAGCCACCCGTCAACAGGGGTGGGGGAGGAGGAGGAAGGAGAAGTGGAAGAATCGGATGACAACGATGAGGAGGAGGAGGGGGAGGAGGAGGAGGAGGAGGGAGGAGGGGGTGTCACGAGGACGGACACGTTGCCTTGAGTGAGGCGCCAGTAAGGGAGAGAGGTGGAGTCCGGTGCAGTGAGGGAGTGTGAGGGGCGCAGCAGCACAGACTCGAAGCCTCCGTTGCTGATCGCACCCCACGCTGTGCCTGCTGGAGTAGAGGTCACCGGAGGGGCTCCTGCGGGTGGGCCTGGGGGGGCGCCTTGCTGTTGTGGAAAAGCTGTGGTAGAAGCAAGGGGAAAGGTAGAGGCAGAAGGACGGGAGGAGGAAGGGAGGAGGGGACGCGTTTGGATGAGTGCGCATGCGCCTGCTGATCTCTAAGGGCACACTGCGCTGCACTGCTCAAAACCCATGCGGTATCATGCACACACGCACCCCAACCATGCATTATCGCCACAGCACTAAGCTAGGCTAGGCGCAGTATGAGAAGTCCTAAAACGCCCATGCTTTACTGCCATGGCGCTGTAACCTGCCAGTGCAGCCACTCAACCCAAACAACCATTTCCGCGCTAAGCCAACTGTCATCCCCGTCTCCCTCTCCATCTCTCACTCTCCACCCCTCCCACGCACCTTGGAAACTCCATTGGGAGATCTGATACTCGAACCCCACTGCTGTTGCCGCCAGACCAGCATAGAACGGCCATGCGCCACTGCTGCTGCCACTGGCACTGCTGAGAGTGTCAGGCCACAGAGCAGTACAGAGGTCCAGCGGTGCTTGGAAAACGCCACCTGTGCTGCTACCACTGCTGCTGCTGGTAGAGGCGACGTACTGTGAGAGAGGGCAGGAGGCAGTAGGATCGGTGGTGGAGGAAGGATCGGTCTGAGAAGGGAGAGAGAAGAGGGCGACAGAGAGAGTGCGTGTAGGGGCACAGTACTCAACTGTGACTGTGTGCGGCTGTCCGTCGAGAAACGTGCTGCTGCTGCTGCTGCTGCTGCTGCTGCTGCTGGTAGTTGCAGCAGCAGCAAGTAGGTCCGTGGCAGGCGTTGAAAAGAGAGGGTTCGCATCGAAGTTGAAAGCCAGGCCTACGGTTTCTTGAGCATTGGCACTGCCACCAGCACCATCACTGCTGCTGCCATTGCTGCTGCTGCTGCTGCTGCTGTCAGCAAGGGATATATCCTGCCAGCTATTCAGGAGGACAGCGACGCTTGGAAGGCACGGCATAATGGACACGTTCCCAGGAGCTAGGAAAGGGAGCCCAGGGGACGATGAAGGTGAGGAGGCGGAGGAGGAGGAGGCAGGGGGTGGAGGGGAGGAGAAAGAAGGCGGAGCAGGGGGTGGGCCGTGGCACATGCGTGCAAATGCAAGGGAGGATGCTCCTGATCCAGTTGTAGGCGTAGAGGAGAGAGTGAAGGAAAGTGCACCAGAGGGCACGGGCGTGGGAGAGGAGGAGGAGGAGGCGGTAGTAGGGAGTGCGGTGAAAGTGAAGGATGAAAGAAAGGAGTTTGATGCGCAAGCAGAGGAGGAGGAAGAAGAGGAGGAAGGGGGGCCGGGTGGGAGAGAGAGAAGGTCCAGAGGCAAGGGGAAGAAAGCGGCGCCAGTGGAAAGGAGAAAGTAGTTCTCCTCACTGCCTGCTGGGTTACTACCACCGCTAGTGTCACCACCACCAGTGTTACCAGCGCCCGAATCGGTGGGAGAGGCAGCGGCAGCAATGGGTGGTGTGAGGCGCAAAGAGGTGGGGCTGGTTGCAAAGACAGGGCTGGGTGAAGCAGAGCCGGAAAAGATGAAGGAGGAGGAGGGGGACGGGGGAGGAGGAGAGGAGGAGGGAGGAGCTGGGAACGAGAAGAGGGACGTCACTGTTGGAGGGTGGGTGGAAAAGGGGGGATCGTTAGGAAGAGACATATGATGGCATGAGCGAGCTTGTGAATGGACACACGATTGGAGTTGCAGTAGAGTAAGAACGATAGACGAGGGAGGGAGAGGAGAGAGAGAAACCGAGATGAATGAAGCAGCAGGGACGAGTGCCAGCAGCAGCAGCAGCAGCTGCAGCAGCAGAAGCAGCAGAAGCAGTACGCGAACGTGCACGTACCATTCTGGTAGATTCTGGTGAGCACAGCAGCATCAATGATAGCGCTAAAGGCCGTGTTGTTGACTTGGAACACAATGCTCGTATTGCCTGTCCCCGCCGCAGCAAATAGCACAGACCCCATGGCGAATCGCCCCGGCACCAACCCTCCCACGCTGCTCTGGCTGCTGCTGCTAGTGTCAGTTGTGGCGGTGGTAAAATCGGATGTGAAGAGCACTGGTGCTCCGCTGATCTTCACTTGAAGCTCGAACGGTGGCGTGTAGAGGGAGGAGGAAGAGGAGGAAGAGGAAGAGGAAGAGGAGGAGGAGGGTGCTGGAACAGTAAAGTAAAACTGCAGCTGGTACACGGCACCTGGCTCTGTTGGAACCACCTGACCCAGGGCGCCCCAGCAGGAGTCACCTGGAGAAGATGAGCAGGAGGGCGCGAGGCGGATTCCGCATGTGCCCAGGAGAGGGCCGGAGGGGGCAGCAGAGGCGGAAGGGGGGAAGCAGGCGGAAGTGACGGCGCTGCCGTAGTTGTCCCAGCTGCCGCCCTCAAAACTGGGGTTGGAAAGGAGGTTGGCGGAGGCTGCGGGGAGAGGAAGGGAATCGGAGAAAGGGACGGAGGGTGAGGAGGGGAGGGTTAAATGCGGAATTGAGAAGCGCGGGGAGGGAAATTTTATGGGAAGGGATGAGGAGCGGGGAATTGAAAGGTGGGGCTGGGGTGGAGATTAGTTTGGTTAGGGGAGCGAAAGAGATAGGGATGCGCAAGAGAGGGCGGAGGAAGTAAGAAAATATTGCCTTGCTGACGACAGGGAGAGAACGAGCAACGGAGGATGGATACGGAAGGAAAGGCAACAAGAAAGACGGCAGGACGGAGATAAGCGGAGAAAGAAAAGCCAGGAAGGGACAGAGAGAAAGGAAACGAGAGAGGTACAAAGTGGTGGGCCCGGATGTGTAGCAAATCAGCGAGAATTGATCAACACCCTTACAGGCTAATGTCTGGTTTACCAGATAAGTCACCGGATGAACTTTGCGCTGCGGAAAAAAGTCCATCATCTGACAAAATTGAAGCTTCGAGAATTCTTCCGGATATATTATCGTCCATTGTTCCACCAAAATATTGTCCTCGAGTGGCGCCACTGCTCCCGCTCGCCTTGCTGCTGCTGCTGCTGCTGCTGCTGCGACCGCTATTGCGTCTACTCGCTTCTCGAATACCACTATTAATACGAGAAGTAGTAGCAGCGACGCTACTACTACCGTACCAGCCCATGAACCGCACCCTTCGACCAAGTCCCCTTCCGAGACTATCGCTACTTCTGCTGGATACCGCAGGACCGTTGGTTGATCCGCAACAAGTTGCGTCTAGACCTGGTAGCGATGCGAGCAGGAGCGGCAGGACAAGTAGCAGCAGCAGCATGGCGGATGCGTGAACTTGCATAAAACGGCTACTCTTTTCGAGGACAAATATCCGCAGCTGTACGATGTTTCGTGTTGCGCGTAGTCCTTTAGAGAGGCTTTGCTCGCAAGGAGTGAATTTGTGAGTCGCCATTGCGAGAGTGACGATTTCGAGCTTGTGAATCTACGAGGAAACGTCCATGTCAATAGGTTCTCCAGCTCCAGCCAATCTCACGGAAGTAAGAAAACAACTTATTCGGCTTGTTGACATACGGTTAGTAACATACAGTTGACATTAACTTGGAACAGGAAACTCGAGCAACGGAACAGCGATGGGACGGGAATTACATGGCGGTCCCTGCTCTCTTGTTGGGCCAGTACAGATTGACGTTCTCAAGGCTGAGTTGAGATGAGCACATTGAAACAGGCGCCCCTAGTGGAGGGAGGGAATGGGCATGGGATGGGATGGAACGAACCAGAAGCAGGCAGGGGCGGGTTTGCCAGCGGCGGGGAAACTGGCTGACGCTAGAGCAGGTGGTGCGGTGGTGGGGCGGGATTAGCGCCAGTGGAGCGCCAGCTGATGCATATGGTACGGTGCGGTTGTGTGATGTGAAACTCCTTTTGCGGATGCATTCCGCAACGCAAACCTAGGCTTGGCTTGCAGGTGGCAGTCAGCAGAAGCTCCGCGAGAAATTCTTGCGAAAATGCAGGAACTTGACTCCCGGGCACACCCTTCGAACGTAGTAATAGTTAGGAGGTGGATTTCTGAAGTTGTCTAGACATTATGTAAACAGCGAAATTTCTCAAATTAATCCGTCCCTAGCCTTACCGTATATTAAACTTCTTGACCCTTATCAAATTTCCGGGCCGATTGCAGAGACAACCAGGTCCAGGAAGTCACAAAGAAACCGCTATCGTCGGTTAGGCGGAAGAAATTTGACCGCCGTCGTCGAAGGGGTCAAAGCGAAGAAATTAGCTAGGGAGGACCTAGTTTATCGGCTGTCGTCGTTGACTCAAGAGTCGTAAAACATACGAAAACCAAAGCAGGCGAACGAGTTAATACAGCCAGGTGTAGAACTTCGTATCTACTGCTTATTGGACATTAATTATTAGAATATGAAACCAAGCTACCATGTGGTGTCACTACGATGAGTTTTCTCGGCCAGTTGTGCCACTATCGTTTGAGAGTTTAGCTTCAAGAAATCCCTCACTTACAACACCAGCACCCTTGCCATTCGAAGCCCCTTTCAAAGCTACCATTCCTTCCACAAATGCCAGCAACTAGCTTACCATATTCTGCACATTGCTTTCCCACGTCTCACATATCCCCACCTTCACTGTTACTTCCCTCTCCCTCCCATTCTTCCGCACCATCACTTCCTTCAGCATCATCACCCTCTTCTCCATCCTCCTCATCCCCATCATCCTCCCCTGCAGCTTCTAAATCTTCATATCTCCCATCATTATCACTACCATTGTCCTCCACACTCATCCCCTCATCCTGCACCTCACCTTCCTCCAGCTCGTCCTCATCACCGTGATCAGACTGAAAAGATGAAGACGCAGTGTCCTCTACAGAAGGCCTATCTCTCCCACCCACCTCACCTCCCCTTCCTGCCACTCTATTCTGAACACCAATTGCGCCTCCACCGCCTGCTGCAGCCCTCCCTGTCGCTCCACCTGCCCCTCTCCTCCCTCCCCTCAAAGCCTGCCCTAGAGAGCTGCTTACTCCAGACACCGCCCCGACTGCTTTCTCCCTCATCCCTCTCCTGTCTCTCCCCTCTGGATCGACAATCACACTCCTCCCCCTGCGTGCAGAAGGAGGGGGACTGGAGCATGTTGAAGAAGGGGAGAAAGAGGAGGAAGACTCAGCAGGTAAGGCAGGTACGAAGCCTGCGCTTCTTGCCCTACTCTCTCCAGCTTCACTTCTCCCCTCACTTCCATCCCTCCTCATTCTCTCGCCTCCCTCTTTCCTCCTTATTTCTCCCCCTTTAACCATCCTCTGCTGCTCGATTCTCCCAAAGTTCTGGCCTTCCGCTCTCTTCAAAGCGCTGCTGCCTCCACCCTCGCGATTACTGCCGCCTCCCTGGTTGCTACTATTACCAGTAATGCTGCCACTTTTCCTCATTCTTAAGCTCGCTGGGCCCTTGTTTGCTGCAGCTCCAGATGATGATACCGTACCAGCAGGTAGTGCTGCTTTCCCAGCAGGAGCACCAGGGGCAGCAACGGTCCTAGCACCACCACTGCTGACCCCACCACCACCACCATCACCACCACCACCACTACTGGCTGATCTAGTTGCTTTGACCACCCTTCCCCCAGCACGACTATCAGCAGCACCAGACACAGCGGACGCAGCAGGTCCCGCAGCAGAGGCCTTTCGAGGCGCATCAAAAGACGCAGCAGGCCCTGCAACAGCAGAAGAAGAAACCTCATCAGCAGCAGACGTGCGCTGTGTGGGAAGCGTGACTTGGCGGAGGAAAAACTCCTTGCCCTGGCCACTATGCGCATGGAACGACGTGGTTTTCATGAGCTCCGGAGGCATCAAGTCCAGCTCTGCAACACTGCAGCTCTGAGCACGTGACAGCAACCGGTTCCCATCCCCCCCAACGCCCAACAACAGCACCCCTCCCCTCCCACCCCCCGCCGCCGCTGCAGAGCTTCCTGATGCGAGTCCCCCCAGCCGTTGGATGATTGCAGGATCCTTGAATATACTGCCTCGTGCTCCCCCTCCTCCTCTACCTCCTCCTCCTGCTCCTGCTCCTGCTCCTTCTCCTGCAGCTGTGTCCGCAGTTCTTCCCCGCGCTGCTGCGGATGCTGCCTGCGTTTCTGCGACTGCTGATGCGGCCGCCGCTGCTCTTCCAGCCGACGCTGCTGCATGGGCTGCTGCTGCTGCCCCTCCCATGGCAGCCTTGCCCCCCTCCCCATCATCGTCACTGCCATCCTTGGGAATGTTCAGCCTCAGGCCTTGCTTCCATTTGGCCTTTTGTATTGGATCCATGCTCATGGACCGAGCCAGATTCATGCCATTGCCCATGCCCATCCCCATGCCACCCATGCCCATGCCCATGCCCATATTCATGTTCGCGTTCATGCCCGCACCTGCCCCGTAACCCATCGCACCCATGCCACGCGCCAAGTGTGCGGAACTGAAGGCATGCCTTGATGCTCCAATCGTGCTGCTCCTTCCCCATGCCTCAGATGCAGCATTCGGAGCACCAGCACCAGCACCACCAGCAGCAGCAGCACCGCCACCAGCACCACCAGCAGCAGGAGCGGCTTGAGACGCGGTTTGCCAAGCCAGGCCTTGTGTCATGGCTGCTGCAGCAGCAGAGGTGCCGGAGGGTGGCTGCACATGGTTGGCTGTATGCCCTGGTGCTTCAGAATGGCCCGCTGCTGCCGAACCAGTGCCAGAAGCTGCAGCGGCACCACCAGCACCAGCAGCAGCAGCTGCGGCGGCGGCATTAGCAGCAGAAGGATTAGCAGCAGCAGCAGAGGTACCGGGTGGTACGAACGCCCCTACAGGGTATGGCTGAAATAACTGACCACTACCATGGCGCAGTAATGACGCAGCAGAATGGCCCGTGGGGAAGCCAAGAGGACCCAGCGGCACAGGCAAATGGCCATACTGCATCGCGTGCATGTGCTGATGCGCGGAAGACATAGACCGCTGCCAGAACGCTCCTCCTGGCGCTGCTGCTGCTGCTGCAGCAGCAGCCATTCCAGGAGCAGCAGAACCAGCGGCTGGTCCCAATGCTCCACCAGCAGTGGCAGCATGAGCAGGCATGGGCATGGCGTGCATGGGAGGGCGCATCATGGCACCTCCATACGCTGCTGCTCTGGCCATTAGCCGGCCTTCTGAGACACCAAGGGACGTGGAGCGGTGAAAGGGGTTGTTCATATCACCAGCACCAGCACCACTACCACCACCTCCCCTCCCTGCCCCTGCTGCACCCGCACCAGCAGTACCCCCTCCATACATCCCAAACCCTAATGCACCAGCACCAGCAGCAGACCCTGCTGCTACTCCCCCGGCCAGATGTGGCAGAGGCATCTGCATTACCATACCAGACCCTGTTCGTAACAGTGCATGACTGTCACGCGCGCCGGGAACGGCCATAGGCATGTGCATGGGCATGTGCATGTGCATGGGCATGTTCATATGCATGGGCATGTGCACGCCTGACCCTGCTCTGTACAGGTTAGTACTTCCCTTTTGCAGGCTGTTTCCCCGCACAAGACCAACGCTCGCACCACCTGTGCCTGCTGTTCCCCCCACTGCTGCTCCTGCACTTGCCCCCGTGGCAGCTCCAACCATTGCGGCTGATTCATTTGATGCTGCAGCTACAATGCCACCTTGCTTTCCTACATTCTCCGCCCCTCCTGCTTGCCCTCCTCCTTCTCCTCCCCCTCCTCCTCTCTTCCCCACTCCTCCTCTTTCTGAACCTGTAGCTGCACCAGCAGCGCCAGCAGCGGCATCAGTATCACCGACACCTGCACGATTCATCACCTTCGTGACCTCTGCACTCGTGACAGCCGCACCACCTGTGGGAGGGCCTGCTTGTCTTGGCATCTTCTGCTCCTCGCTCCTGCTGCTGTCGCTACGAGCCACCGAGTCATGAACATTAGGAGGCGTCCTGCCAGAGAGACTTCCAGATTTCACCATCATCCTTCCTCCTCCTCCTCCCCCTCCTCCTCCCACCTCCGCAGCTCCCCTTTCGCCTCCTCCCCTGCCCATACTCCGCATACTACCAGAGCTGCCAGGCCTGCTTACTACTCCTGCCCCTCCTCCTCCACCACCTCCTCCTCCCCCTACTCCTCCCCCTCCTCCGCCCCCTCCTCCAAACCCCCCTCCCCCACCACCCATACCACCCACCGCCAGCCCTCCTCTTCCAGCCACCCCTCGCGTGGCACCTCTGCCTCCCGCACTCCCAGCAGCAACTGCAGCACTGCCCACTCCACGGCCCAACCCTGCCCCTGTCCCGCCACCAGAACCACCGCCAGCAGCAGCAGAACCCGCAGAACCACCAGCAACAGCAGAGCCAGCAGCAGCAGCAGCACCAGCAGCAGCAGCAGCAGCAGCACCACCACCACCACCACCACCACCAGCAGCAGCAGCAGCAGCAGCAGGAGGAGGAGGAACGGGAACACTGTTGCTCGCCCCCCGTGTTTTACCCATAAGCCCCCCTCCTCGCCCTCCTCCGATAACTCCTCCTCCATCTGCCCAAGCAGCTCCCACCACTGCCCCTGGAGCGGCCCCTGCTGCTGCTGACCCCGAAGGGGGCAAGTTGACAGCTTGTAAGACTCTCATTGGAGAGGTGCTGATCTTCCTTAAAACCCGACTTCCCCGAACCACCATCGGGCCTGACCCCGGACCAGACCGGCCAGCGCCTCCCGAACCTGCTGCTCCCATACCTACTGCGGAGGATATCCGGCGTACTGCAGGGTTTCCTGCTGCTGCTCCAGATGTAGCAGCAGAAGAAGCAGCGGCAGAAAGATCACCACTTCCCCCTCCAGCCACTGAGCCCTCCAACCCCTTGGCATCACTGCCATCGGAATCTCCTACGTCCGCCACTGAGTCAGCTCGCGGAGACGTCTGATTGGACGAGATATAGCCGTCACAACTGTTGGGCCTCTTGTGGCTCGGCCAAGCCTGGACAGCAGGTCCGGACGAAGCAGCGCTGTTTCCCAGCTGCTGCTGTTGTTGCTGCAGCCGCAGAAGCTGCTGCTGCTGCGAGTGAGACCTTTGATGGACTACCAGCACCTGCTGCGTTTGTTGCTGCTGCTGGGATGCTAGAAACGCACCCTCACTGCCACTCCCCATGACTCCACTGCCGGCACTACCTCCCCCTGCAACTAATCTCACTCTCCCACTGCCGGGCCGACTGGAGGCACTACCAGGCCTGCTGCTGTTGCTCCCAGGGCCGCTCCCCAACCCAACACCACTACCACCGCTTCCTGACCCTAAAGGGAATCCTCCAAAAGGAGAATCCGGCTCTGGAGCAGCGTCAGCAGCTGCACTGGTAGCAGCAGCACTGGCAGCACCACCCATGCCAGCAGAGCCGTCAGCTCCAGCCGCAGCAGCGCTGGCAGTGGCAGCGGCAGACGAACCCGATGCCACACTCCAGATGGATAGCTTTTTTCTGAGAGTGTTGGGGGATGGGGGAGGCAAAGCTGACGCAGAGGTTTTGTTTGGCGTGCAGGTGGCGCTGCGAGGCAGGGACCAAGCGTGCGCGCCAGTCATCCGCGAGGGAAGCCGGATAGGCACAACGGACGGGAAGGATCGGTTACCCCGACCCGACGAGCCACGTACGGCCGAACCAAACGGCTCGGCATGGAGGGACCGTGGTGAGGAAGCTGCCGACGAGGGAGTGGAGGTGGCTCCCGTTCCTGCTGGACCTCCCCCGAACGACCCTGCACCCACAGCATTTTCAATTCTTACAACCACGCGAATCCCAGCGCTCCCATCCCCTTCTTTCCCCACACAACCCCCCACTGCATGTTCGCAGGCTGCAGCAAGCTCCAGTGCAACGGCTGCCTGCTCTAACGACCCTGCTGCTTTCTCTGCCATTCTCGCCCCTTCTTCCCGCGCCCGTGCCACGTCTTCTTTAGCTCTCGCCACCTCCCGCCACATGTGCCACACGTCAGCTCTCAGCCTCGCTGCGTCGTGCTTCGCCCGTGCTGCTTCGGACAGCAGGTGCGACCGTCCCCTGTCCACCACCATTTCCACCTCTTTGTACAATTCCGCTCCTCCTGTGCCTCCCCCTGTGGCTCCTCCGCCTAATGATGCCTCTGATGTTAAGCCTGCGCCTCCAGCCCCTCGTGCCACTCCTGTCCCTCCTGTCCCTTTTGCCCCTCCTGTCCGTCCTGATGCCCTGCGATCTGCCTCTGGAACCGACTCCCCAATGCTGGCTGTGCTGGGAAACCCAGCCGCTGCTCTGCCTCCTGCTGCAGCTGTTGTAACGGCACCGCCTGCTGTCTGATCGACTCGTGCCACCCGTTCAGCTGCTGAGGTGGCTGCCCGTTCAGGTGCCTCTGCTCCGCCTTCTCCGCATTTCCGCCCGCCCGACTGCTGCGCATGGACTTGTACCGATGCATCCCCTTGCGGCTCCTGGCGAAGGAAGGGTGAAGGGGAACGGCGATGCTGCTGCGAATGCGCCGGTGACTGCCCCTGCGACTGCGACTGCGACTGCTGCTGCGACTGCTGCATAAGCAGGGAAACCTGTTGTTGCCTCGCCAGAGTCTTCGGCTCCTGATGCACCTGCCCAGAAGATACCGGTCTCGTATCAGCCTCGCTCGCACCAAGGTCATTACTGTACAAATCCGCTGGTCTTTCGGGTTCCTCATCCCCTTGACCACCTCCCATGTCCCCATTTCCATCGCTATGGGTTTCCTGTTTCTGCTGCATCGCCAATGCGTAGAGCTCAGCCAGTCTTAGCCCCGACGACTGCGACAGTAATCTATTTCCGTCCATGGCGTGGATGTGCGACTGCGGCAGGACTTGCGATGACAGCTGCGACGCCACCTGCGACTTTTGCGTTGCCACTGGATCGCTTCCAACGGTCAAGGAACCTGACTTCTTTAACGCTCGGCCCTTCCCACCACTAGAATCATTACCACCGCTCCTTATAAGAACGTTATTTTGGGGAACATCACTCATTTGCCCATTCAAACCTGCATCCGCCGTCTTCGCCAGCTTAGCGGGAGACACACCGATAGTTCCGTTTCGCCGGTTGGGCTCGGATCCGTTACCCATCAGCACGCCGCGGCTGGGTGTCGCGTGAGAGACGCCGCTCATGATTCCTCTATAAGCTGTTTGATCTGCGTCCTTAACAATTACTGGTGACGACGACACTAGGCGAGCCTCAGGAGCGCTGGTTTCGATCGAACGGACTCTGTCATTCTTGCCGAAGTGCTTACTATCGGGGATGACATGAGAGGGATGCGAGACGGGACATGTTTACAGCCCAATTCACCAGTTGCGGTTGTGTTTTGGATCAGATTATCCGAGACATGGCCATTGATAGATGTGGGAACAGTTCGTAGGAGAAAAACATTATCCCCTAGATTCTCAAAATTGGTCTACAGTCTGATAACGTAATGAACCATAAAGAATTGCTGACGCTATGTGAACAGATGCAACCGAAACGCCTTTCTCTACTGAAACGATTAAGGACGAGCCGTGGATTGGCCATGGCCGATTGAAAATGAAGTTAGGCGGAAAGTCTGTTGCACAGCTCATGCATGAATGTTCGGGCTGGTGAGTAGTGGTCAAAAGTGGAGAAGCAGAACAACCGCTTCAGAGTGCACAACATCGTACTCTACCGCTTCCTCTGAACAAAAGGTTCACCCTCCTCCCATGGCACAAGAATGTTGAAGCAGAATGAATGAAGCAGACAGCAGTTGTCTTCCCACATACTGTAGCAATAGCAAACGCACCAGCCCAGAGGCAGCCAAGGGCCAAGGCATCTTTCTGTACCAAACCGAAGTTCCTACAACCGAAATCAAACAAGCCCAGTGTAGAGCAAAACTGCTCATGTTTGTTTGCTTGGCTTGACTGTCTAGCCAAGCCCCTGGCAGGGGAAAGCAGGCAACAGGGGCATGTGGTCGACGCGCAGCTCCCTATGGATGTGCTCTTAGCGAGCGGACTGCTGCCGGTGAGGTGCAAAATAGTGCGCTTTCTTGAAATTCCCGTTGGACCGAAATTTCTCGATTCCCTCGAATCCTCCAAACCACCACCATCACTGAAGAACTGTATTGATTGGACTGCTAGACCAGCCAATCGAATACTATGTGTCGCCGTACTGTTTCGTCGACGCTAACGGAACATGCTACTAGTATGTCTGAATATATCAATCAATGGTAAATACAACAGAAATATCCCTTATTAAACACGTCTATTAATCATGTAGGGTTGAGTAGAACGGTGTTGTTGTCCCCATGACTCTCGCAGTCCAGGGTTGCAAGGCGTACAGGCCACTTTAATAATGTTAACGCCAGTGTCCCTACACCTCATGTTCTGAATAATGGGGTTTTGGTGGTAGGTATGTTAATGGGTAAAACATGCAGAGCAGAGGGGATGAGAATTGCATGAAGTCAAAAAAGCTCATTTGACATCCTGGACATTCAGGCAGTGAGTCCACCACCATAAGGGAAAAACACGGACTAGATGGTCACAATCCAGCCTATTGCAGAAGAAAATAAACTTTTGTTGCCCTTATCCGGTCAGAAAATACACTGCTTCAATGCCAGATTACAGTATACTTCAGTTGTATTCGAAGACATGCACTGTCAGCTAAACATGCTTGAAGAAACCGCAGGATCGCCTACAGAAACTGCTAGCCTGAGTGTTTCAACATTTAGTGCCCCAGTATAACAGAATAGCCACCATTAGAATACAGTCAACTTCTTATGCCTCCTCAGTCGTAGTCCCCGCAGCAGCCATGGCAGCATATGAAGACGAATCCTTCCTGCCCTCAGCCTCCCCGTTAACTGCAACCTCCTCAATCACCACTTTGGACCGCACAGCACCGTCAGCAGCAGGCACGGCGTCTGCAGAGTGGGTGGCAACGCGAATGGAGCGCAGCTCCCATGTGCCCTCGCCATCTATGAGCCGCAGCTCCTGCGAGTGATACGGCACCAGGGCAGGCCGCTGGGTGGGCAAGGCCATTCGGTTCCACAGAAAGAGTGGGGGAAACGTTGAAAAGGGGATCAAGGAAAGGTGGCCAAGAGAGGGACACGGCAGGGAAAAGGAGGGGAAACGGGTTGGAGAGAAGAGGCAGGACACATAGGGGAAGATGAAGTGGCCGGAGGATTGTATGGAAAGCCTATCTGGATACAAGCTTTTGTTGTCCGCAAGGTGATCGTGGAAGGGATGGTAGAATAGCAGTACAGATGCAAGCGGGCAATGGCCATGCTCCCTTTGATACGTCCCAGAACATGTCTCAACTGAAAGGTTTTAAAACGTCTCAAAACCAGATCCGGAGACATTGCGAAGGCTGTGCCTGGGTTGACTGAAAAAACAGCAGGGAGCAAGTGAGGGTGGCTGGGGAGGCATGGCAGGTGATAGGCAGGCATGTACGTGGGGAGAGAACCTGGGCGATGGTGGCGACGGTGATGCCCAGCTCCTTGGCACGACACATCCATCATCTCAAGTTGACACAAAACGGGGACGGCAGGTGATAGGCAGACATGGAAGTGGGGAGGGCACCTGGGAGATGGTGATGACGGTGATGCCCAGCTCCTTGGCGCGTGCATAGAGTGCTTCCTCCACATCCACACTCGTTGCACTGCGAGGAGGCGGGGGGCAGATGGTGTGGAACACAGAGATCAGGGGAACACAGGGCGCAGAGGGGGTAAGGGACACCAGGGTGGAGAGAGGGATGGGGGAGTGGACGGAAAGTGAGCGGGATGGGGAGCGATGCAGATCTGGGATGGTAGCCTAGGCAGTGTAGCGAGAAACGGCACTCACTGGCAGTGTGAAGAAAGTGGTAGGGAATGGGAGGGTTATCGAGAACTGCATGCTTGAATATGGATGGAGTCGAGTGACAAAAAGAGTGACACATAGAGTGACACATCCCCACACCCTCATCACCAGCTGCCTCCCTCCCTCGTTCACTTGCCAAGAAAGCCCCCCAAAGCAGCACATGCAGCTTCTCTCTAACCCTTCAACTCACTTTGTGCATTCATCCAAGATGCCAAACTTCGGTCGGTGGAAGAAGAGGCGTGCCTGGCAGGCGGGACAGGGGCAAGGGCAGATGGGAGTAGGGGAGGACGGGCGCAGGCAAGGTGGGCAGATAGACACGCGGAAGAGAATGAAGACAGTGGGAATGGTGGAATGAGCAAAGCCAAGAAAGGGTGAAAGGTGAGGCGAGCAGGGTCAAAGATACAGGAGCGCAGTAAAGCAGCCTCTAGCACATAACCCAAGGCATGGCAAACCTGGCTCTTCCTTTACAACACCCTTCACAAGCCACTATTATCACGCACTGTAACCAAACCACCAACAGTTGCAGCAGGCGCCCCACCCACTCTCCCTTCCAACCCACTCTCGCACTTCCACCATCCCAACCCCTACTTCCCTCCCTTTTCCCCCCAAGCAAACCCTCACCATGCCCAGGCGCTGCTGCTCCCCAAGTGAGAGCGTGTCCTCCCACGTGGAGGTGGCGTCCCAGCCGCCCTCACGGCCCAGCAGGTACAGCAGGCGCACGTCCTCCATGATGCGCGCCAGCTGCTCGTCCAACGCCCGGAACGCTGCTGCCTCCACCGCTGCTGTCCACCCCGCTGCCGGGGTGTCGCCTGGGGAAAGGGGAGGCGGGGGGTAGGGGGTGGATGAGGGGGACGGGAGGGGAAGGGGAGGGGGAGGGGGAGCGGGAAGGCAGAGGGAGCGGTGAGGATGGGTAGAGGAGAATGTTGGAGACAAGTGGTGTAACTTCCTAATCGTAAACCAAGTGTGAAACCCTATTCCCTGTAGCCCAAATCGCAAAGCATTGCCGACCTCCGTTCAGATTCCATCCCACCCCACCCCTCCCCTCCCCACCCCTCCCCTCCCCTCCCCTGCACGCACCTTTCCCAGCAGCAGCAAGAGCCGCAGGAGCCCGGAACCCCACGACCTTCTGAGCCGCATCCACCCGCGACAGCGGGTAAATCAGCTGGTCTCGCAGCGACCCCAGAGCAGCGTACGGGCGCTGGGGCACGTAGAACATGCCACCTGTGGCAATGCCTGTGGCCCCCTCTGCAAGTAGCATGCTGCCCGCTGTCATCGGCGGGAGGCCTGGCTTGAGTATAGTGCCCTCCACGAGGGGCCACAGCCCGCCCAGCACTCGGAATAGACTGCTCTTGCCACTGCCGTTGGGGCCTGTGACGAGCAGCGACTGCCCCGGGTGCACGGTCACAGAGAGCTTGTGAGCCAGCAGCTTCTGAGCGGGAGTGATGACGTCCACTCCCAGGAATGCCACGTCCTGAGCCACTGGCGCGTCTGGTGCCTGAGATGCCAGCGCCAACAGCCCTGTGAAGGACCCCGGGCGCTGCATGTTGTGAGGGGCCAGGTCTGGGAGGGGGAAGAAAGGGGGGAGCGGCAAGAGGGTGATACGGGCAAGAAGGATTGCATGAAGCTTGAGAGTTCTGCATCCAAGCTGCTCCGGCTCAGACTTGGGCGATTCCATGGCACAAAACAAATCACTTTTGATTCTGAAAAATTGATCACAGAATTTCCACGAGTGAACCATTCTGATTCCTTTACCAGACACCGGGACGAAACGGACTAGAAACTGAGCAGCGCTCACCGTGCTGTGCGGCGAGCAGGGCTTCATCCAGCCCCATGACGCGGGCGATGGTGCCCGCCAGCTCCTGCACCTTGCGGTAACACTCGAGAATGTCCCCGAAGGCCAGGAAGGAGTGCGACACCACGGATGCCAGGAAGCGCAGATCGTGTGCCAACACGCCTGGCAAGGGAAGGAGCGCGAGGGCGAGGGGGGTGCAGGTGGCAGGCAAGCGCATCAGCTCCTGTACGTTGCGGTAACAGCTCCTCTGAATGGCCATTGCCAGGAATGAGTGCAACTCAGGCGATGCCAGGAAGCGTAGGTCGTACCCCAACACACTCGACCCGAGCCACGGGATGGGCGGGGAGTGAGGGGGTGAAAGGGGTGGGCGGGGAGTGAGGGGGTAGAAGAGGTTTTATATTTTGGATTCTAGACGATAGCCTGCACGGGCCCAGGCAGGAAGCGAGGGGGAAAATTGGGGAGAGTGTTGCGGGAGAAA